TGGGAGCGAACCTGAGCCTTCAGAACACCTCAGAGGCCCTTCAGTGCAGGAACAGTGGGCAACTACCTTTGAAGAGTATCACTTAGAAAAGCACAAAGAGGTAAACTCTGGTGGTAAAAATGAAAATGTGTTAAGTGAAAATAGACTTGTTTCAAAGAAACCTTGCACTGGTAAGTGTGGGTGCAGACAAGAAAATTCACAGCTGATTAATGAGAATGAACATACACACACCTTTCAAAACATGAAAGATGAGAGAGGCCTGTTTAAGAAAACAGTTTCACCTTGCAAGCTGCATTATGGCCAAGGTCAGGCTCACTATTGCCTTCCCGATTTCTATGAAGTTGCTTCAGAAGTACCAAAAAGAACTGACAATATTAACTCAGTTCCTACAACTGGGAGAGCAAAACCCTTCCCTGTTTTGCTAAGTAAACCAGTAACTGTGAACAACATGCTGGAAAATAAGAATTACTTCAATTCTGCTGAAGTAGAGAATAAAGAAGAAATGAGCATTTCAGAACTGCTGCAACAGCTAAAGGTAATTAGGATGCTTGAAGAAATTCATATTTGAGTGGTTTATTGTAAGAAGATACTCTGTGTCCCATAAAATCTAACATGACTAGTTCAGGCAGGCAGTACATCACTTGACTCAAAAATTGCTTTCACAAATAAAATTTAGTGGGACTGACTTTATACAACAATTTCATTACTAAGTTCAATGACTAAGTATTATTTAATACTTCAGTATTTAACACTGGAGTATTATTTGTGATGATAAAGCATCCTATCAAATCATAAGGAAATTCACTATAAATTTTAATTTCTAGTGTTATATGTAAACATTTAAGTTCACCAAAAATACTTAAATGTATTTTTAAGAAAAACTTTCTATTTTTATACCGTGCCTGTATTAAGAAAACTTTGGCCTTTTTTTACATCTTAAGGCTCTTCAACTATTTAGCCTAGTATTCTTTTTAAAGGATTTGTTTGACAACAATATTTCTTTTGCTGTAGTAAATTTATTTTAGAGTAGTAATTAGATAATAACTGCTCAATTTTGTGCCCTGACATGGAGTTCACTCACAGAGCTCTATGAATTCTTAAGTCCATTCCTAGGTTTAGATCTTAGTAAATCACTCAAGATGTAACAAAGTTTTAATAGTTTTTCCTATTATTTCCTGGCTGCAAACAAGATGCTGACTCAGCATGCTGACACCCAGAATCATATTGACCATCTGAGATTTAATCCCAAGGTAAATCTCTCAAAATAATTTTTTTGTTTTTAAGTCATTCTTCTTTATCTCTAGGACTGACTATCCCCTAAAACTATTTTGTCACCTTCATTTTGTACTTCCCATTTACACAAATCCTCTTTATATTTTCACAACGTAGAATTGAAGTATTGAAGTATTTATACAATGAGAGTACATACATCTAACTATAAACTCAGAAAATTATATGGTATTGTTAAACATTTCATGAATATTTTGTGTTTTGAGTTATTTCTAAGTTTGTTGTTTATATAACTGTTCTATACATTATATCTATAACCAGAGTTCTCACTTTAACAGATACTTCCTCAGTCAGACTTTCCAAATGCCAGCACTGCCATTTCCTCAGGAGACACTGGGACAGCACCTGGCGTCATTACATTAGATGCTCCCATCCCTGTACAATCTACACATGGTTTGCTTAAAGCAAGTAAATAAAATTAACTATGCAAATGACTATTTTATGTAACTTGATTACACTTTTGGGCAGACATTTCAACTGATCAGTCTTATCTTGTATCACACAGGATTGCAGTCTGGAACATCAGCATTACCAGCAGCTGGTATGGTAGAAGCACGATGTCCAAATCCTTCTAATTCACTGCCAGAACCAACACTAGGAGAAAAGATGTCTCAAATACTAAAGGATCAGACAGATCAACTGACAAAGAAAGTAAGAGCTCTGTTTCAATATATACTTTGCACTGATGCTCAAATTCCATATTCATTTGGCATATTTGTTTTCAAAATCCCAAATAAAAGTCTAATATTTTGTCTTTAAGGTAGAAGACTTCTCTAAGCATATGTCCCAAGAAACATTCTTTTTACAAGACAAATATCTGGTAAATTATTTTACATATTTTGAGCTATCTGAAATGCACTTTAAACGGCTGCAGACTTACAACATGGCAAGTTGTTCATGTTCTCCTCAAATGAATGTTTACTCTTTTTCTCAATTCAGACCAAAGGTACAAGTTTAAGAAGCAAAACTAAAGGTGTTCAGTAGGTGGTTGAATTCTTAAATCTGTTTTAAGGATTACAGTTCAAAACTATTAATGAAAGGCCTTAAGTTGCCATGTAAGTTAGGAATTTTGACACATCAGTTCAGAAGTCATAGTTTAATATTTTACTTGTACATAATAGAGCAGCACAGAGTACCAGGTGATCATAAAATATGCAGTCCTGTTCCAATTCAGAGAATTATCAAAATTCTTACCAAAAGCACTGCAAACAGCATCTGGCTCATGTAGCAAGCCACAGTGATAGCTACTTATGCTAAATGATAGTGACATTTGCTATTGAATTCTTTCTTATTGATGAAGGCATTAAATCAACTGAAAAGATACCTTGATGCCTTGGAAAGGAATTACTTAACAGCTAGAGAAAAGCACCATAACTTACAGCTGCAGAACTTCAAGGACAAGTCTATCAACATTGGAGAGTTTGATCCTGAGAGGTTGGAAGATAAGTGCTAAGTAGTACATCAGTATATTTTCTGTATTTTGAGTATCTTACAACTTTTACTTCATTCATCCATCAGAATTTTTCTGAAGTAAAAACATTATGTCATATGTGGTAAGCTAAGAGTGATTTGGCCAAAATTCATCTTGGGCTTTATAATTAGGGTATCTATTTAATTAATTCAAATACTTAAAAGGGACTCAGTGAACTCCATTAATTTTATTTTTTTCCTATGAGAAACGTACTGCAATGTCCCATATCATAGTAAGAAATAAAAGGTTATTTTATACAGGTTTAACTAACTGTGTATTGCAATTGGATTTAGAAGAGTGGAAGGGGGAATATTTAGACTTGGCCTGCTGCTTGAAGACATTCAAGAACAAATGGATCACAGCAAACACAGCCTGTCATCTTTGCTGACTTCCTATGAATCTGCCTATTCATCACATTCTTTTTGTGAGGTAATCGAGTTTTATTATTTAAAGACTGCGATTTTTCTGTTTTACTGATGCAAGTCTCGAGAACATAAGTGTGGTTGTACAATTGTATGTTCTCCTCTAATAAGAGCACGATGCTTTTAGATAGCACGTTACTTCAAAGAAAATATTTTATGAACTATTAACTTCATAATATTTCATTAATTGTAACAGAAACTTAAGTATTAAAAAACACTGCTACGCTGAATATTCTTAATTCCAGTTTCCAAAGCATTTATTTCAGAGTAAGAAAATATAAACAGCTACTTTGACTTCTACAAAGCTGTCTTTGTTTGGGGGAATGAATCAATTCCCACTATCACTTAGTGGGAAAAAATATTACTTTGTTTGTCCATGAATTTTAAGCTGCAGAATTACTAAAAGACCAAACAGTATTGTGCTATAGAAAATGGAGTTTACTGCTAAGTACAGTAATATTTTATCCCAGATCATAAATACACACACACATGAAATCTTACTGCCTCCTACAAATCTACAGGTAAGTCTCACCCAATGCTTTCATAATCAATGTTTTACATAACATTTTCCTCTGAAGCCCAGGTTAGGAGAAACTCAGGAGATACTGTTTGGCAGAAGTCACATGCTTGAAGTGCAGTGACCACATCCACCTGTATCTGTGCTGTGGTTACTTTGTACAGAGCTCGGTGGTTTCAAGCATTGCTGATCCTCCAGAAAGAAGAGGTACTGAAACTCCATTTCTTTACGAGAACTATGAGGGAGAAAAGAGTCCGACAACTGATGTAATCCCACAGACAAATCAACCTTATTTAGAAGGCAAAAATTGCTGTCTTTGTCCTCACATGTAAGTGAAAACTTGGAAACAGCTGTTGAAGTTTTTATAAAAATGTACCTAAAAGTATTTGCTGAGTAAGAAAATTGGAATGACTGGAATCTCTGAAAGCAACACAAATATTTCCAGAATAAAACTTCTACAGAATTCTGTAATTACGTACCCAAGAATTCCTCCCATTCCTCCCAGCCTCGCATTCCTACCTTTCTGAGTCTGAAAGTATTTCCTGAAGCCAAAACACTACTATCACTTTCACCTAGAGTTAAATCATACTTCTGTATAAAATTAATTACAGCCACACAAATTCAGGACATGAATGACTCATCAAAGCATCTCAATGAAATTAGAAAAATAAAATAAGTGGTTTCCCCTTAACCAATCTAAGGTTAAAAAAAGAAAGCTGCATCAAGTTCCAGAAAAGCAGCAGAGCTTCTGAGAAAAGAAGGTCTGCTAGCAAACAAGCATTTTTCTAACATAATGGCAGATCTCTTTTCATACTTTTTTTTTCCAACTTAGATTATCTTACTGAGCTTTGAGGGTGCACAACATTTTCCCTCCAGTTTTTCCACAGCATAACATCTCAGCTTTTGTGCTACTACAGCTTATCATCACATTGCTGAGTTGGCTTACAAAGGAGAAATATCAGGATCCTCAAACATTTTTGAAACCTGTGATAAAGTTTGCTGCTCTCAGGACAGATTTAACTGTGTTTACTAACCTGCCTCTCATTTTTCAGAGAACAAAACCCTACAAGCAAATGCTTGCCTACAAAAAATAATTAAGTAATTGAGAGAAAATAATTAATATATATTAATCCTTTCAAAGCAACATGGTTATTTTGGAGTTTGGAATTTTGGCAAATTAAATCTCTATCCAAAGCTACATCTTACAATACATGCAGCACAGAACACAATCATACTAATCTGAATATTCCGTCAGATTATTTCACAGGGTAGATGATAATATTTGTCTAGTAAAACTCACCTAGCTTCCACTTTTTTCTCTGTCATTGAAAGGAAGTTAGCTCAATCTTCTGATCATTATGTTCATGAATGGGTGAAAAACTTCCCAAATAAATCTGATCACTCTGTACACCCTAAATTGAAAATACACATCAAATAACTCAAATAAGGAACTTTGTTCTTGTCCTCTTAGAAGGTACATCTCAAATATTCCTCTAATTATCTAAAGGCAGTGCTATTGAAGCCTTAATAACTCAAAGTTACTAAGAAACCAAATCCTATTTAACATATGTTGTAGCAAAATACTATCAATGGTAACACATGTATAAATATGTAAGATTTCATACAACTTCACTATTTGAATATGTGATTATCAAGACATCTACTTTTAAGGATTTTTAACAGCTTGTTAAGTCAGAATCTGTTCTTTAACTAAAGAGGTCATTATTTTGCAATTGGTTAATTATTAATTTAAACTTCTACTTACCACCTTTTCAGAAAACTGATAGAGTTCTTTCTATGAATAAATCTGATTTCTTCTCAACTAAGAAATGGTTAATTATTAATATAAAATGCTTGTAAGTCTCATCATAGAAGTATTCAGATACAATTAAATTATCATTCTGTTTCCATGCTCAAAGAAACATAAACATCCAGGAAAGAAAAACTGGAACATCTTCACTCTTCAGTCAGAGAAAACCAACTGATTTATCAGATACCAACCTGAGTAAGTCATGATGGCATACAAAGGTCAGAACTGTGCTTAAACCTGCTGGTGAATCCTGTTAAGAAATACATTCCTGTCACATCTTAACTACATGAAAATTGTAGTTTTAACAGATGTTACTGCTTAGCACAGCACAAAACACTAAGAATAAAAAGGAGGCTAAAGGGGACACCAAGTCAAATTCACTGTGGAAGTCTCAGTGACAGACCAAGAGGCAACAGACAAGTTGCAAGGCAATTTTCAGTTAAATAAGAGCAAAAAATTTTTAAGTTGGAGTCTAGTCAAACATTGAAACAGTTTGCCCTGAAGAGGCTGTGGTATCTCCATTCTCAGAGATATTCAAAACTCAACTGGACAGGGTCCTAAGCAACTTCATTTAAGTTGGTCCTTCTTTGAGAGGGGACAGGGCCAGATGATCTCCAGAAGTCTTATCCAACCTGAATTAGTCTATAAATCTAATTCAGCTTTCTAGAGAAGGTTCCAAATATTGCCACTTTTACTATTTTTAGAGCATGACAGTGATATGCACACAAGGCTTTGTTTTTTCTTCTGATGTACGTTTACTTCATGTCCTAGAAGAAAATTCCAAACTTGACAACTGAAACATTTCATATCAGTACTTCAACTTTCAGTTTTTGGATTCAACTTTCTTATTCTGCGTGAATAAATTTTTGCATGAAAACGCTGCAAAAAGTTTTCCTCGATCTTTGATCCATTCAGGGTTGACACAGACAAGAAATACTCTCCCCTTCATTCCTTCCTTAGTCTAGCTCCTAATAATATAATTTCATGAAATCCAAACTAGACCCCACAGAGGCTACTATGAGCTACTTAAGTCAGTTGTCAAGTCATCCAAGACTTCAGCTCTTGGAAGCTTAGTAGCAATCTGTAGGCATTTGTCTCTCTTAGGGCATCTTAATTTTATCTTTCCACTGCAGAATACTCTGAAGCTGTTAGTACCCAACAACTAAAGAATAGCATGAGCTGTCCTAGATTCAGTTCTAAGTCTAAATATATAGATTATTCTTACCTTTGGTCTGTCTGTTGTCCTTGTTTGTGATTCTTCTTTGTGATATGCTTGCACTTTAATATAAGACACTGAGACCATTATTGTTAGTACTGGTTTGTGCAGTAGTTAAAGCAGTGCTGTACTAGAGCTGCACAAATTCTCATCACATTTCTATTAGGTTGCACTGTTTGCACAACACTATGCACAGGGAGATGGAGAGCTTCATTTTTTTATTAAAAAACAGTTCTTGGTCTGAAAATAACCACCACCAAAAAATAATAAAAATCTACATTCAAGGCTTACAGTCACAGCTGAAAGCCAATCTTTAAAGCTCAATTCCCACATTCCTGTAAAATGGAGGAAAAAGTACTTCCTCAAATTGCAGTATCATTAATGGCAGCAAAGGGCTCTGAAATTATGGTGCTGAAAGCCAAATAACGACCTGGATACACTAGCCTAAGTTTCTAATATTTCAGAACCTTTTAACTTATTTTTTGAATTCTAGGCAGTGATTCAGAAGACATCTCAGTCTACGATTCTTATAATGATTCACAAAGCAAGGACCTTGTCAACTGTGACACTCAGAATTACAAATCATTAAATACGAGATTATGTGGAGAGAGAAAAGGTACAATGATTGCAAAAATATTAATATCTAAAAAGAAACACAGCTTATAGTGTTTGTTTTTCTAAACAACATGTCTGTTTTCAGGACTCGGATGCAGATGCCCCAGGGGAAGCAGAGATCAAGTTAAACTCAGGAATTACAAAGAGTCTGTTCAGTCTTGTGCCCTATGTAGAAATAAAAGTTCTGGTTCATCCTGTAAGTATGATGTGTTACTGAAATAATTATCAACCACAGGCTAGATTTTAAGGGGCAAGAAGCCACACTGCACATATCAGGCCAAATTTAATTTAGTATAAGCAATCATTAGCATTGTAGCTAAAACAGTGGGTTTTTATAGATCTTGTAGAGCAAAAAATCAGGAAATATAACTTTTACACACCTGCCCAAGTTTAATCTCCATGCACAACAGCTTTAACCTTCTCTGGTTCTTTATGAAAGGAGTGCCTTTCATATTCCGTTCATGGCAGGAATATCTCATTTTGCAGTGCCACATGAAAGAACATGAAAATTGGGCATTACTGTGCCAACTTTTACAATGCCAGCCATTGCCTAAAGTAGCATAAACAAGTATTAAAGAAAATTTCAGTTCTACACTCATCCTGTGACATGCAGCAAGGTAAAGACTAATAAAAAAAAATTTAAATGTTTAACATCTACTTTTTAAATTCACTTATCTCAGACTCTCTCTCTACCATAAGAAAAAATTGCTTAAAGAAAAATGTAAAATTTCAACAGTCACAAGAAAGTATAAGTTAGCTACTTGTCTCTAGCAATTCTGTGAAACTATAAAATCAAAGCAGTACTCATGTAATTAGTAGGATTATGAGAGTCTGATTATTCTCCACCTCCCCCCTCCAGTCTTTCACTGTATGAAATAGAAATCTGCATACCATTTGCCACAGAGCTAAATTCAACAGCAAGCACAAAAAGGTTAATCTGTCCTCATTTACAAAAAACTTAAGCATATTCAAGTTTTATTCATCAGTGATAGTTTGCTTGATCTTTTATTTATGCTAAATAGAGAAAAATGTTAAATACACAGAAAATTCACAAAAAATTACCTTTTTTTTTGCTTGTTTTAAACATGGCCTCTATGACTCCAGCTTATTCACAGAAAAGAATCTCCACAAAAAAGGCTCAAAAAAATAAACAGCCACGTGAACTTGTAAACAGACTTTCTGAAAGGTAAGCTGTAGCAATAACTACATAGTACATAAGAAAATCCCATTGTTGAAGATCCAGCAGGGAAAAAACACACTAGTATCATAGGCAGGAAGAATGTTTTATCTTTTGCAGTGCATTTTGATATTAAAATTTTACTCAGTAATTAATTTAAAATATGTACTCTAAGAACATGTATAAATAGTTCTTAGAGTAGTTTTTCAGTCTTTCTAAGTTATTGAAGGGTACACATATAACTTCTTTATCTGGCACATTAAGTAATGACAAGAAATATTTAATTTTATTAAGAGGATGTTCCCATTCACAGATTCCAAAGCAGGTCTGTATTTTCAGGATGCAGCTCTGTTTGCTGCCAACTATTTCTTTAGAAGTAACAGTCCTCCTTTTAATTGTTGTGAACATTAAATAATTCTGGGAGACCGAGAAGTAAAATGGATTCTTAACTGTAGCACAGACTAGACTGAAATGGAGACAAGTTTTGTTATCATATTTTTTGACTCAGTAGCAGTAATGGCCTGGAAGTACAGCAGCTGCACTTGAGAATCAATGGCACAGACCCCTGGGTGAGAGAGCAGCACCAAGAGAGTGATGCTGTGAGAGATTTCCTTACTCTGCATCCTGGCATGTTTTCTGTCTTACTGCAATAGAGATGGAACACAAATAACAATGGAGTGTGTTTTACAGTTAAATGGGAAATTCTACTCACTGTAAAATTAACTTGCAAACCAGTGTGCTATCAAGGTGTGTGTATTTAATTCAGACTTTAGAAATTCTTTTGCTTACTGAAATTATTTGTGTTTTATTCTCTATATCTTCTCTTTAGGGAATCCTTTGAGGCTGCCAAAACCTGCTGTTCAAGCACATGCAATAAAATTCTTGTTTCACATCAGTACATCACCAGCAAGAAGTTTGCCCAAAGCAAATCTGCAATCAGAAACGCCAGTGATTCCAATGCAAATGTAAGACTTGAAAGTGAACATTAAAAGCCACATAACTATCTTGGAAAGGTTAAATCCACACATCAAGGCACTATTGAGCATCCCTTTCTTAGCAAGCTGATTATTACAATCTAAGCAAACCTAGACCATTTGAGGATAAGACTGTATGGAGTTAAAAACCCAAGCATTTTAGCTTATATATTAGTATATAACTTCATGTAAGTATGTCCAGACTTTTTATGCAACTTAGTCCCTATATGAAATGATCAGGACAGAATAGTAGCACTGGATCTTACCTCTGAAATGGTTTCACATACTGAAACAATGTCAACACCTAGCCATACAAACCACTATCACAACCACAAGAAAACCTTCTCAGTAGCACAACACTGGCCCTGCTACTTTAGAAAAGTGTAAATATCCCTCAGTTCCAATGATTACATAGTCAAAGAGAAATAAATAACAGATACTTCCAACTTGAATCATGGACCAGTCTTATCACATAACTCAAGTTCTACTTCTCAACATGTATTCAGAGTGAAAATTGTGCACAAAACCTTAAACATCACCTTCTATTCTATACCTATGTATGCATTTGCCTTCACCATTAACAAGGCTACATTTTATTATTTCCAACAGATTTTAAGTTCTACTCTGGATCATGCCATACAGACAGCAAACAGTTTGAAGGAAGCTACAGAACGAATGGTACGAGCAGTTTCAGAAGATCTAGCTAAAGTCAAAAGAAAACCACTTTAGTTACCCAGTTTCAAATACGATGTTGTTTTGCTGGTTGATAAAGAAGTGTTAGGACCTCTGCAAATATAAAGTGATGAATACAAATATCAAAAAGTCAGCTAGCTAACTTTGACAGCTGTTCTGTAACTGTTAGTATTAAACCACACCAGATATAAAGGTATTCCACAAGTTTACGCTCAGTCTCAGAACTCTAAAACAAATTACTAATTCTACTGAAAGTCTTTAGTAGGTTGGCTAAAGGTACCTTTCTTTTCTTTAAGTATCCATTCCTGTGTACAAGTACCTTTCTCTAAGTGTCCACCTAAGGTAGCTTAATAAAAATTGGCTTAAACAAGGAAAATTAACTTTCTGACTTTGATTTCCCCACCCTCCCAGGTGTGAGAATAAACCTTAGTCATTACTAAGTATCATTTCTTCCCACATTTTAGCAGCAGCTGCTTAAACACACCAAAACAGCCTCTGCACCTGAGGCATCTACCTGCAAACATCACGCTAACATACCAAGTCATAGTTCACATTTGTAATTATTTTGGTTTTACAGTGCTCTACATTGAGAATTGTTTGTTTTTATAGTTACAAACTAGAATTCAGAAAAATGTTATAGGTATTTCTGCTAATTTTTTTAAAGTTTTGATGCACGTGGTGTTTGATGAACCAGTTAATTCTAGAGTGTTGTTCCTGTATTCATATTGAAAAAAAAGTCAGAATACATTCAATTCCTAACTCATTTAGGTGCATTTGAAAGATAGAGCCACTTATTCTCACCATGCTACATGTGCTGCAACATCTTAGAATGTAACCTTCTCACCTTTTATTCCTCTCTAATGTGTGTGGAGGGGAACTTAACCTTTTTCCACCTTCTAATTAACCCTGAATGATCTTACCTAGCAAAAATATTCTCTTAACCTGCTAGTTAAACTTAGAGCAAAATAAAGAGAAAAGAAACAAATCCACCTTTATGCAAAACAAGAAATTAATTCCTTTATGATTGGGAAAAATGTAAATAAAAAACCATGAGTAATCTGTTTTTTTCATTATGACATTTCTCTCAGCTTCTACATACAACAAACTAACATTTCAAGGCACATAAATACAACATCCCTTCAAAAGTTTAGTAATTTTAATTACGTAATTTTTAAAGAGAAATCTAAACATTACCAGTGTTACAGAATTCACACAGTTTAGATTATTCCTTTCAATGCAAATTTAAGTATTTCTTTCTTAGTATGTAACAAAGCAGAAAAAAGAGTAAATTCTCTTGAATACATCAGGTTTTGTCATTTGGTTTGCTTTTAGCTTTTCTTTTTTAAATTACCAAGCCATTTGAAAGATTCAACTGCTTCCCTTCTTTTCCTCTCTTTTTCCCCTGCCTCCACTTCCTCAAGAAGACATGCTTATAGTTTTGGAATTTCTGTATCACAGGCAATTCAACTTCTAACAGATGCACTATGTAGACACAATCATAAGGAAGTTGCTAAGAAATTAATTTTTTTAAAAAGCTTCATTAATAATCCCTGTATATACTTAAATATAAAGTGTACTTCAGTGCACAGTTGACAGCATTTCTTCAGTTATTTATTGTGATTAGAACTGCTTAATAGTTCTGTGATTAATTATCTCCCTTACCCAGCACCATCTAAAAAGCCTTTAGATTTTTCACAATTAAATATATTTAAAGAATTTTCAATTAGTTACTTTTAAAGAAAATATTACAATTTAAGACATTGCATTTGTATGAAACATTTTTACCATAAACCCATATATACAAATTTTCTCCTGAAGCCCCTACCCAAGGGCCTAGGCCCTTTTTATTTCAGTAATTTTTAGAAATAAATTCTATTATATAAAGGTTTCACAGTTCTCAAAGACAATTCCAGTTTATATATAGTCACAATAACTTTTAGCATAATTTCTTAGGAACAAACATGCCCTTTTGAAAAAGCGCTTATATTATAATATTAAATACAACCTAAGAAACATACGTGTTTAGTTTTTCTTGTCTCTGACTTCTACTTCCCAAAAAGCAGCAAATTTAAATTATAACATGACTTTCCATTAGTCAGAACCATGTAGTATCATAGTGCAGTGTTTGGAAAAGTCAGCTCCATTAGAGTATGTACATACTGTTTGTCTCTGTAATGCACCATAAACATCACCATATCTATTCATCCTTAATGGAGACCATATCCTTGGGTTTAGTAAGGCTCTTCACTTCATCCAGTAGTCTTTTAGGTGTCAAAATATGAGTAGAACCTGACAAAAGAATATAAGTATTAACTGTGTCAGTCAAATTCTGACTTTCAGACATTCCCTCTTTAAAACATCAGTGACATGCTGGTGTGTTTTTACTGTACCTGCAAAACTGACAAGTACAGTAGTTCAAAGCATGTTCATATAAAACACCATCCTATAAATGTAAGTGTTACCATTAGGTAGGAAATGTCCCTCTCCCACACACACATCCAGATCAGGACTCGTGCTTGGAATAAAAGTTTGAAGTCCTGCTCTGCTCTGTTTGAAACAGAGCTTGAACCTGGGCCACTTATGCTGTCCCAGCCTGCAAGAAATCTCCCCAGTGAATGACAGGCTTTACCCTAGAATCAAGAAACTACCTGGATTAAAGGTCATCACAAACAGTAGTTTTCCACAGAAATATCAGTTACAAAAAATTGGCTTTTACTGACTAACATTTCTGTGAAAAATTTACAGCAAATTCCCAGTCTTGAGCAGCAAAGAAAATCCTTAGTATTCTTCAGGAGTGCACAACTCTCTCTCTTATTCTCATAGAGAGTAATTATAACTTCTGCCATGAAGGGTCACCCTACAGTTCTAAAGGCAGTGCTTAACTGTTTAAGATTACAGCTGTCTGGAACTTTTGGTTTTAGCAGAGTCACTAGTGGGCTAGTATTCCTTGAGTTCTGAATCACAAATGCAGCAAAATTTTAATCCTGCATTAAGCCACATGGAAATCTGGCAAATTTCACCTTCCCTCAAAAATCAGGATTACAAACAAAACTACAAGAATCATCTCCAAACAAAAGGGAAGACGGTGCTGTGGTTAGTGCCAGATACCACAGTGAAAGAGTGACCACTAAACATGGTTTTGTAAACAAGTCTCAGATGAAGAAACAGTCTGGTTAATCTGCATTTCTGTTATCCTGGTCTTTCCGTTGCAACTCAAAACTAGGTCAACTAGGTTGACCTACCTCAACCACCATCAATGAAACCAGCAAAGAAAAAATTAACCAGAAAAACCAACCACACACACAAACACACCTACAACACCCCTGACTATTTAGAGGTAAAAGACTCTAGATCTCAGAATCAAGGTTGTCATTGTTTTAGGAAAGGATTTATTTAAAATCATGGTAGATAAATTCAAGCCTTTCTGAAACTCAAGACCGAATTTAACTGCCAGAAAGACATTTTAAGCAATTTAAAATGCTTTAGATGACCCTGCACCCAAATATCAGCTGCCCCTGCAGATGGATACAAGTCTCTGGCAAGGTTCTGTGTTTAGAGCTCTGTTTTGATATACTGTACTACTTCCACAAGCAACAGGAGTAGCAAGGGTCACTAAAGGCAAAGCACAGGCAGATGCAAAAGTTGTGAGGCAGCTGTAATGCAAGGAAATAGAGGTATGTTTAAATCCTTTTTGCTACACTTCAACATATTTCTCTGACATGATTCATGATGGTTTTTCTGTAGAGCATAACTACTTTTTTTGTCCTTAATACCCTGTTGCAAAAAAAATCCTCTAAACACCAAGCAGTCTGACCAAAATAAAAAGATGTTTCTAAGTGCATAGTTTTAAGCAATACACTGGCTATAATATTAGTGTACTGAACCATCACAGGGCATGTATGAAAAACAATCCTAATGATGATCTTACATTTTCCAGAAGCACATGTAGTACAGTGCACACACCATCCTTCTCCCAAGGCAAGCTTACCAATAACAACTTCACAGGACTTGTAGGCTTCAGAAACCTCATAAGCACAGCGCATCTCAGAATATGTGACTCCCCCAATCACAAATATAATCAGCCTTGCACTGCTCTTCCGCTCCTCTCTGTAACTACCCTTAGGTTTCTGGCGTGCACTGTAAAAGATTTCAGAAGATGACATTTATCCAGCTTTACTGATTCATTTTTGGTTAAAATTATATATTTAACAAGCAGTTAATTCCTGTCATGCAGTTCATGGTTTGATTGTAATTTCAGCGAAAGTATTTAGATAAATTGATAATTTATCAATTATCAAAAGGGAGGTACTCCAAGTAAGGGTCTAGATGACTAAGAAGAATTATTAAAATAACAACCAAGTTCAGTATGTTTTAGATTAAATAAAAATATAGGCTTGAGACTTTGGCATTACCTTATATACATTATTTTACCATTTAGTAAGCACACTTCCATAACTCTTTAGAATGTATATGACAAAAATACTGAGAAAGGGGTAAACTATTTTTCAGGAAATAAAATTATTTACCTTACTGCTCCTGAACCATTCCAGGTGGGAGGACACCGGGAAGAATAAGGCCAGTCTTTTGAATCTAGCTTGTTTTCTATAGCATCCTGAAGGGCAAAACAAAGACACACTTTAAACAGCCTTGTATAGACCTAAAACCCACCAAGTTTCAGCTTTCAGTAAGGATGTCTACCCGGAATTTAATGCCAACACATGCAGCTTAGAATAACCAATTGCAAGTCGCATCTCATGAACAACACTCCGATGTAACAAAGTGCTAGACCACATAATGCTAAAATGTATTCTAAGTCTTTTGCGTATCACAAGGAACTGGGAGTACATGTGCTTTTTTTATAAACACAATATTGATTTAACTATTCAGATTTTACAAGCAGCTTTTCATCTGTAACAATCCTAAAGCATTTAATTTCTCTACAGCAGTGTATGAGACAAGTCAGGGTCCACTAAAAATACAAATGAGCATGTGAAAGCCACCAAAATCTATGAATTACAGCATTGGGTCAGATTAAAGGTCCGGTGAACTCACTACCCTGTCTGACATCAGTCACTAATTGATGCTTAGGAAGAGGTTTAAGAATAAAGGAATTACATTTCCAGCAAGAAACATCTTCCAGTCTCTACCACATTAGTTTAGATTTGAATTGCAGTTTAAAAACCCACTGGAGGAAAAAAACCAAAAAAACCCCAGATCTTTAAATTACACTAAACACTACCAATCACAGGACAAGCTGTTCTAAAAGACCTCTTGCTTTCGCTTTCATTTGCTTCACCTTTAAAATGACCTCTAATAAAGAGCATTACTAGCACACAGCAGTCTAATGTTCTGTATTACTGACAGACTAAAAAAAGATAACTTTTTCGCCAGATGTATTTGACAACAGTAACTCATAATAGTATGGACTGGCTGTAACTGCTCATTCAAGTAAATTTCTGCACTTCACCCATGAATTAATTAGTTGGTCAAATTTACCTCCATAACATCTTTGATAACAGGTGTCCACCTAGAAAGCTGAAAGGTTTCTTCTGAAGAACGGTCCCTTCTTGGGTATTTATGCTGCTGAACAGCAAACTGAAAAGATTTTCAAAACATGGTTGCATTATAAAGTGTATTTGGACTTTTGAAAATTATTCGCAGTCAGTAGTGGAAGGAGGGGGCATCAGTAGGAAAATTTAAAGAAATAATAATAATGACAAAGAACAACAATTAATACCTATAGAATTCAGTGTACACTAGAAATAATAATTTCAGAGACAAGGAACTGAGTAAGTTGGCACTTTCCAAAACCAGCTAGGTCAAGTCACCATCTCATGATTGTAGAGGGAACATTATGGGTACCTTACTTTAAACAATTAACATGAATAATTTTCAAGGGATTTAGCACTTAAGAATTCCTAGTAATTGCCTGTTTCCAAAAACAGACCTGGATAATACTACTAGGAGTTGCTGAAAGAGCTGTAGACAAGTGCTTAGGTGGTAGGAACTTAGAAAATAAATAAATACATTCTTACTGAAGAGATAACAGGAACATCAAGGTATTTCCAATTTTTTATCATATCACTATCACTTTCTATGTGCACATTCTGGATCAGCTTCTCCAAGTTCTCCTGGGTAGTTCCTTCAATATATGGAAAACAGACAACTTAATTACCAAGAGACTGTAAGACCAATTTTGTCTCACACTTTCTGGGCTGTTATTTAGGCCAGGATTTTTTTGTTTGTTTTGTTGTTTAACATAATATTATATTTTAGATAAAATTTTGTTTAATGGTGCATTTTTGAGACCAAAACTCAATATTGCTGCAGATTCCTCAGACCAGCATTCTGCCAATTTCCTCCTCTTCTACTACAAATTCTTCCCCGCTGACTTAATTTGTGAAAACAAGAAAACAAACTATTGCACACATCCAAGAATAAGAATGATGCTAAGACACAGTATAAATCTGCACTTGAATTACATCTCTTAACTCCTTATCAGTAGGATCTTTGCTACCAATTTGAGCGCAGCTACAGAGGATGGATAAAATTTATTTCAAACTTGGCCATCAACTCCAATATTAACTTATATTAACTAAAAATACCTATCCTAAAACTTGAGTTCAAGTTAATAGCATTGAGGAAAAAAATAGGACAAGTTATCATACCATTTGTGCTAAAGATATATAGCAGAATAGCTCTGATTTTGTCATAACTCTCGTGACTTTTGTTGAGCAGAACTGGAAGGAGGACCCTCATGGAGTCTTTCACTTTTTGACCTTCTGCATCAGTTCCAAGAGCCAAGTCCTAAATTAATAAAAAATAAAAGCCCACACACAATGGTTTTAGAGAGTAATCATTAAAAAGCACATTGTTTTGTGTGTTTTGAAATGCATTTTTATGAAACCACAGGTTTTGGGAAACAATCAAGCTGCATCAATTTAAACTCAGTATGACATGTCTGACATTTATTTCAATACCTGCAGCATTATAATAACTCTACATAACACTGAAAAATTTAAAACTGTTTGATATCTAGAATTCTCAGAAATGTAGCTTACAGTTTTTTACTTGAGATTAATAGTACAATGTAATGCCTCACCCTAACAGGTGCTTTTCCCAGACATTTTAAAAAGGCTTCCACCAGCAGAACATACTACAGCAACTTCACAGGAGTTTTGAACAAAAAACCAAAGATTATCTTTATACAAATCAGCCATATTTCAAGAAAAAAACCCCAAACTCTAAGAATACCTCCGTTATTGGCAGATTAAGAGCCTTGTACATCTCAGTTTTAATACTAGTACCTCAAAAACTGACTGCAAAAAAAAAAAAAGGCATGAGATTTTCGTCACTTAAAACAAGCCTCTATTCCTGCAAACAAAAAATCTGTATTTGAAATAAGTTGCTGCTTGGGTTTTGGCTTTTTTAAACATACCTGTTCAGTTTTACAGAGCCTTTCTATGTTAGATTTGAATTTGCTCATGCAATCTTCTGCTATGTTAAGATGAACAACTTGCTATAAGACAGAAAGAAAGGAAAAAAAAAAGAAAATCACAAGCTGCCATAAACTTTACGGTCTTTTTTTAACATACCAATTATTTTTACTGATTACAAGAGTCAATCCTTCAACTATCCTTCAGAACCATCATGCATTTTCCCTGTTTTACCCTTCACTTAGAGACCAGCCCCGGTAATACCTTTTAAAACATTAAACACTAATGCGATATTCAATCCTCAAAGCACACAAATAATATGATTTTTTTAGTTAGTAAAATGAAACACCTGGAAACAAGTTTTCTTCTCCAAATTTTACAGTAGATGAACATACTGGAGAACAGCTATATAGCACACTCAACAGGAAAACAACAGAATAAAGCTCGACTTCAATAACACAAAAAGTTAAAGTGCACAGAAATATTTATTGTGACGTTGTAATTACAGAAGACTCCTTACCTTACTGATCTCTTTACGATACTGCGGCATCCTTTTCATCAGCTGGGACAGAGCAGAGAGCGATAACTGCGAAGAAATGATACAAGTTGAAAATTTGCCACCCCCCCAGTATTTGAAATGCTTATCTCCCTTCTTGTTGCAGCCTTTCTTCCCCCACAACCCTTGAAAATTCCAGTTGAGAAAAGCCTCAATGTCTGTAATAGGTCAATGAATTAAACGGATCTGATCAGCTGAAAATAACCGAATTACCAGGAAAGACAGCAATACTTTAATTTAAACAACTTACTTTTCCTTCTGCTTCTTTTTTTTTTGATGACATCTCTTTCAAAAGTTTTGGTATTTCCCTGAAAAAAAAAAAAGAAAAATTATTGAATGCAACAGCACAGAAGTTCTTAAATCTTTTCTTAAACTCTTAAAGGAACTGTACAAGAAGAACTTCTGAATGAAAGTAAAAACTTCAAATACAGGTCTCCTTCAGTGAAGAGACCATTTTTTTTGTGAAAAATTGCAAGTTAAACTTATGATATCTGCATAATGTCATTTGATGTAACAGCTTGCTAGTACTTTACACAAAATAATCCCTTCAGATGCAAAAGATTTGAAAATACTTCCCAGGAAATTACTTTATTTCCATTTTCCTCAAGAATTGTAAGTAACATTAGCATAACTGTATACCTTGATACGTAACGTATTTTGGAAGCACAGTTTCTTGCTGGCATGCAATGAAGTCTATATTACAAACCATCTTCACTACTACCTGTATTCCTACCAAACAGCTCAAATACCTTCCCTCTCAAAGAAACCAAGTGGTTGGGTTTGTTATTCATTCACATACTCTATCACATCTGCAATATGCTTGTGCCGCATCTTCACCCAGAGGTCATCATCTTCCTCCAAAATTGCCTCCTTTTCCTTCCCAGCAGATCCTTCTGTTTTGTATCTTCCAAGAGAAAATTCAGACGGTAATTTGGTTTTTGGGTTTCCCCTAATTCTCATTACTTATTACAGTATTATTTGTTACAGTTTAATGAACGTGAATGGTAACAGCAGTAACATACAAAGGTTTTAATTTACAAGCCGAGCTATTGCCTGACAAAAATATAATTAACAGAAGGATTTTACAGATTACATCTTTGAACATAGAAGAAGCAGATGAATTTTAGAATGGTTCTTTGGGGCAATAGCTTCTGGACATTCTTTTAAATCAATAGTAACTAGAGATTTAATCACACATTCACATGCAGCTCCATTTCTCTTCAGCTTTCTATGTCAACTTCCCTCTGGTTTCAAATGCAAACTGCACAAACAACACACTGCAACTGCAAAGTGCAGCTGTCCATGTGTACTATAAGACATTTCATAACTGAAGGAAAATGAAGTCCCATTCACCAACAACACAGACTAAGCAGGACAAATTGCTTCACATATAAAAAGGAACATGCTTCACACCATTACAGAGCAGTTATTACTTGGCTATAAACAAAGCTCACGATAAACCTACAAAGCAAGACAACAAAATCATATTACACAATATTTTCACATTTACAGAAACTCACATAGTTGCCAGAAAGCAGAATGAAAAAAAAAATCACAAGATTAATTGTGAAAATCAGATCATGGCTACCTATAAACCATACTCTGCTACATCTTCATACCTGGTGAGTCTGAGATTTATAGAACTCTGCACTTTCTATTAAAACATTCACTCAGTGCTTCCAACCAAAGACAGGCATTCCTGTTTGCTTGACCAAACAATGAGGCCATTGGGTGTCATTTGCTGTAGAGGGTCATCAGAAAGCAAAGTCCTACCAAAATCCTTGTTGTCAGAACAATCTGACAGCAAAGTACGTAACTTACACAAATCACTGTTACACTGTTCCAAACAGTGCTTATGAACTGAACATGACTTACTTAAATGTGCACTTAGAATAGAAACATGTACATTTTAACAACTACACAAATTAAATGACTGGAGCTATAAAACTGAGCATTTCTGAGAAATAACCAAGAGTTTTCTCAGTATGCAATTACTGGTCTAATTTGTCTTGTTATGCCAAAAAGGTTGAGAATATGAAAGAAAATCTAGAGAATCTCAGTGTGTACTATAACAAAGTTCTTGGTTTTTAAAAAAAATGCAATTCATTAGACCCAAAACTTAACAAAAATGATATTTAGATCCTACCTAATCTCAACTAAGTGAGGAAGTTAAAAAAATGAAGTTACAAATCCAAGAGGAAAGAGTCATAAGTGAAGCAACCATTATGTAAAGGAGCTAATATTGCCATGGTGCAACTATGCTAAATAACTCCAGAGATTTTATAATCAAGAGTAAAGGGTTTAGGTTTGTTTTTTTTTTTTAAAGTACTTGCTTGTAAGTATCGTTTTCAATTGGTAGCAGGTCATACGCCATTGCCTGGAAGGTGAGCTCATGAAGTACAGTTGATACTGGATCAAAGGCACGATCAATTATTATTAGTTGGGAGTGGGTTTTAGCCTAAAAAGCCATCAAACAAACATGAAGAAGTTAAGACATATAATACAAAGTTAATGCATGTTAAATCTATTTACATTAAGGTTACAGCACTGCAGATATATTTTGAAAAATAACTGAAAAAAAACTGAAGTATGGTCCAAGTGTTTATCAACATTAATAACAACAAACATTTAAATTACATACAATGGGTTTAAATATTAATTTTAAGGCAATACTCTCAGCAACCTGAATTTTGTTCATCTAATGAACAAAAAATGTAAAGGAAAAAAAAAAAGGCCACCCACTGACTTTTCATAGGTAACTGTGTTGTTCATATTTCAGAGTCCATTATCTATACAGTGCTGCAACACAGGAAAAAAATCTCCAAACATTCAACTGAAAGTTTCATTTTGGGATTTAATAAAGTGGCAGTAGCAGCAGGTACATTTATTTCTGTAGCAGAGTACAAAGTCACCAAGTCAGAATAGTTTAGCCTATGCTTTTGTGTTAAAGCAGCTGCCCTAATCAGCTCTGATCTGTAGGGACAGATCAAAACCATTATTTGCAAGAACAGCTGTATCTTTATGGACAATAAATCCCTTCAGGAAAGCCATTTTAATTCTGCAGGGAAGTCCCCTCTACACACGGCCTTATGGAAGGTGATATTAAAACAAAATTTGTCCACTTGTCCTCAGGTTTGCATCATCCCCTATATCATCACAGGGCTAATTTTTCAAGTAAAATCAGTTTTTAGCTTACATACAGATTTACTGTATCAGCTACTACCTCTAAGTTGCTATCATACACAAAAACAACTAAATGGCAATTAGTTGCCTTTATAATTAAATAAAATCTGGGTTTGTAGAACCTATTGTCAAAGCCTGTTTTGAACATGATTCTTTTTCCCCAGACTTAAAAAAAAGTAGCAAACATTTTAAGTTCACTTTCTACCTTTATTTGGCTTTTCTCATCTGTTCTGTAGTAGTTTTCAAGATTTTTTTCAACAAGCTGTGCAAGTTTGCTGGCTCTATCAGATGGTCCACTGGGAAAAAAGGAAGCATGCAAAAAGAACTTAAATTTCTTCATCAGTGCACTAAGATGCTACCTTTAAAACAGAAAGAACTCCCTAGATTGATCCTCTGGTTTCATGAGCAGTTTCTGAACTCCATTCTAAGTCTTTCCAATATATTTTCACGTTTACATTATGATTCCACTCTTTGAATGCTTCAGGTATTTCACACAGCAGAAACAGCTTCAGCCAAAAGACTGACATGAGCTGGCATATGGCCCAGCACCTAAAAGTCTCACTCAGAGGCAGGAAACAAGAAAGAAAGAAAAAGAAACAGTCAAGGAGTTATTTCTTTGTTACCTTTGCAGAGAATAAGGCACCACTTCACATTACACCACAGAATGCAGTTCTTGAACACAATTTCAGATGCCTACTTTGACATCTTAGATACTAATCTGTACTCCTTTTCAAAGCTCAAAGGAGGCATTCTTCTCAATATCTCTACTACAAGAAATCCTGATCCCATCTGCCACAGCAATTTATGAATTTCTTGGCACCAAGTGAAGCTGCAAATCTACAAACAGCAGCAGTTCTCTTACAGGATTATGCATCTGGTACACAGGAATGCAGCATATCAGTGTGTCATCCTACTGACCAAACATGAAACAAGCCATTTAGAACAAAACAGGGTCTAGCAAGTACTGTTCTACAAATGTACATGGAGAAATAACTCACTGTTTTACCTACACTTCACAAATTCCTATCATTCCATATTTCAGGAGTTGTGGATTAAAAACAATTAATCCACAATTACAAAAATAAACCAAAAAAAACCAACCAACCAAACTATGCTGCAGCCTCAAACTATGACCAAACAATGTGGTAAGCACTAGAAGTGAAAGCAATTACACTGTAAAACACTGGTTTTATATCATACTCCTTTCTATACCTTTTATATCGTACTCCTGGATTTTCATCTAGTGTGGCACATAAGGTAACAATTTGTTCAGCCATTACTTGCATTACAGCATCTTTATCCTTTGTCTTTTCCAGAGTCGGACTGTAACAGCGGTAGAATGCATCTGGGACATTGAGAATAAATACCTATGGAGAGCACAAACAAGGAAAAAGGGGCCTAAATTGCACATATCTAAAAATATTGTAAAAATCTTGCTAGTAATTTAAAACTAAATGCTGTAAGAGAAAGTCACACATAATATCACTGAAAAAAAATTAATCCCACACTTCATTCCTCCTTCCCTGCCCTGTTGAGCTCATCAGCTTCTTGTTCTCACACTCTTTTTCCCTATTACTCTCGTCTCCTATGTAAATTACTATATTTTTCAAATTGCTTACTGCCTGTTCAGATGGAAGGAAGGAAAAGAGATCAGGAAGAACTAAGTCCTCTTCAGTGTCTTGTACAGAGCCACACAATACAATATCACAATAATTATAGAACGTATGGAGGTTAAATTTAAAATAAAATTTTATGTATTGTATCTGCTTATTAGATGAGGACTTTACCTTCAATAACTGAAATTTTTTAAATGCATTAAACCTTGATAAAAGAAGCTTAGTACTACAGAGGAAAAAAAGTTTTTTCAACAGTTTTGTAAATGGAATGCAAACACAGAAGCAATGCTATTGTCAGTAAACGAATTTTCTCCAGCTTCAGATGGACTCTGTAACTACAGAGCCAAAGAAGAACGTCCATCCAGATAAAGATGTTTGCTTCATTCGAGTACATAATCACCTGGACTTCGCCCACTCTGATTATTCACCCTTAGCACCCCAGAAAGCAGGCAAACCAGTTAACACTGCTCCTTTGCTAAGGATTTAAAATGTTCTCGCAACCCAAAATAACTAGAACACAAAAATACACCAAAACCAACAAGAGTGTTGTTCAACTGAAGTGCTGCTTATTTTCAACATCAGAAAACTAGTCACAATTTCTCCTCTGACAGTGAGACCTCTGGAGAACCAGGACCACATAATTTTCATAGGTCTTATTTGGTAGAGTATTTCTGAAGAGCAGCCTTGGCAGAGCTCCCCAAAACAGTTTGAAACAAAACTTGGGAGCATCGACCTCACTGGAAAGCAAACAAACAAGCCACCACACTCACTATTCTCTGATGGCTTCTCAACCTAAAAAATAAAAAAACCTTTATAATAAAAAGGAGTCTGTCTTCAAACTAGGAAACTGCATCACAGCGACACATGGCCAGCAGCAACCTCTCCTATATTCACCTGCTACTTGGTATATTGTGACCCCCTTGTTCATAATGTTTGATGTAGGAAACATTCATGGTTAGTTCTACAACTCTCAGTACTGGACAGGGTTTGGAGGCTTCACTGTATTAGTATCAGTGTGCATTTCAGCCTTCTGTGTCTGATCAAGAGCATCAGCAACAAATTATTTCTCAACACAGCACCCACTGTGCGGCTGCACATTGAAACCACTCATTGGTTTCCATTGGTGGTCTCAAATTTTTCACTGAGAAAACAGGGATTTCCACGTTCTCCTCTCACTGAAAAGTCTCTCAGGTTGTGGTAGTTTCTGTTTCCTGTTTTTTGTAAGGCTTTCATTTTGTTCCCCTCCCTTGCCGTTCTCTTAATGCATTTGTTCTTCTTTCCTGATTTTCACCAAGTAGTTAGTCCTACTTACTCCTAATTCCTATGCACCAACCCACCTTGTCTGCCAAAGTAACACCTCAGCATAAGCAGTAACATAAACTCTCCTGTTTACTGAAGACAAACCAGAATATTTGCCTTCTCTTAGGGAACAGATTCCTTCTTTAAACTCCCTACTCAACTGACACTAAGTCTGGCAAACAGATCACGCACAAAGAGTAAACCTTTCAGTATGAGAGCATTTGTTTTATCTGAAAAGCACAGACAAGCGCTGGAAATGTGCCAAAATGGTAAAACATCTCACATACAGTTTGCCAGTCAAAAGCTACATTTTATTTCATTGTTTTCTAGAAGGTCAGCAACACTTGAAAATAATCCTCCAGACTGTTTTTTGCTGTTAAGATTAAGAATTAAACTTACCTGAGACTCATAAGGGAAGAAGGAAATATTGATCTCCTTGCATTTCTTTATTGATTTTGCACATGAAGATTTAATTTTATTGAAGAGGTTGTCAGGACAAACTAGGGGGAAAAAAAAGACTAAGTATAAATAATTTGTGCATATTCCAGCTGTCAACTCACTTATGAGCTTACAGTATTCAGAACAGACAATTCTAAATTGAGAACCAATTAACCGTAAAATACAAAAAAAAGTTGCCTACTCTTCCTAAAGTGAGAGAGAACATATAATCAGTATTTTGTGTTGTTCAAAAAGCACCACTGGTCAATTTTTAGTAGCTTTGTGCAAGTGAAGTTGCAGAACACTCAATAACAGTCTGCAGCTGTGAAGGATGCTGATTTTATCAAAGCAAAACTTTCTGCTATTTATTCTCATAAAGGAGAGAAAAAACGTTTCCCAAGCTACAAAAAAGGTTAAATGGAGAAATAATGTGTACATATCTAACAGCAAAACACAGAAATACAGAATTGAATATAGGTTTCAAATGTGTTCCACTACACTTCCAGGCTACACTGGATCCCAGTCTAGAAACTGAATTTAAGGAATACATGGACAACACGAATACTACACAGACTTGCAAGCGACAGAGCTATTTCTCTAACTCAGGAACTATTCATCTCAACAGGAAAAGTTTTAACAAGTATTCAAACTGAAAGCTTGCCACTTGCAACCAAGGAACATAGAGCAAGACAGTATTTTTCCAGAACAGTAATTGCTGCTTCAGTGTGAAATGAACCAAGAAACCAAGAGTTTTGAATAGTAATTTGATAACTGCTTTGAGAACATACAGTAGCAGATATGCACAATGCACAGACATCCACAAAGACAGTCACAACTCAGGCCCTGCCTTCAGCAGCACACTTGGGCTTTTTGTTTTCCCTTCATTACAGACCATTTTAGTCACGCTGACTGACTGCGGGGAACATGCAGTCACATTAACCCTATTCACACTCATTGTCTCTGCTGTAGGCCCCTTCTTCCAGGCAAAGGGAAAAAACTGGCTCACAAGTCTGAAGCAACTACCTGAAATAACCAATTACTAACAGTGCTCTTGCAGAAAGTTCTCATGCATATTTATTTTGTTTATGTGGAGATACATAGTTTTACTTGAATTGTGTTCCTCCACACTCTCCAACGCAGGTGAAGACTGGAATACTTAAAAATAAAACTCCATATCCTAAATTAAAAGCTGAGGAGCAGAACAATCAAGACTGGTAATTGTGAAAAATTACTATTGCAACACAGCATGGTGACCACAACCTGGCAACCCAAATATATGGTTAACAACTTGAGTCTCAAATCTTCTCACAAGAAACAGGACCTCAACTTTTCAGGTACTCAACTATAGGAAAGAAGTGAGGAGCTTACATATTTACCTATATAAAGTTATCAAACTACAACACAAAAGCTTACTTACAGTCAGTGAAATAGACATATGCTGCTTTGTATCTGCTGCACGATTTATTGATGAAGTCATCAATAAGTCCATCTACAGACTTTTGGGGATAGGAAAAGCAAGGAAAAAAACCATCATGACAGTGTTTTACCTTTGTTCACAAAGCAGATAAAGTTTCTCCCACCCTATTACCAAGTCCCACTTAGGAATACTGAAGTTCAACATACAAGAAAACACTTAAGCTTGAGATTTTTAATTCCACAGCAAGAATAACAAACAGTTACAGATGGTCAGTCATGCACCAAGATCACTTTAGGAAGCACACAAATCAGAGTACTTGTAAAATTTCCCACCTATATGCTGAGATTTATTCTCTCAAGAATTTTTAGGAAGTAATAGAAATCTTATTAGAGCCATTACTTTGAATTCTATTTTTCAATTTATTGCATCATTATGTGATACAATGTCTCTTTCAGTGAGGTTACAATAGCTAAGCAATGAAACAGTGCCTCCATTGACCACAAGGTACTTGTTTGTAACATACTCTGGTAGCACAGCATTTTCTTTTTGTTATGGGAAATGAAGCATCACACGGAGAAGTATCACTGAAAATGCAAAAGTTAAGTACTGTATAGCTGTACATAGTAAATAAACATTTTAAAATAAGATTTTTTTTTTCAGTCTGAAAGATCTTGCAACACTTTCTTTAAAATACTAACCTTTTTGGTGGGAGTTATTAAATATATTGCTTTCATGTGTGGGACAGGCTCACGGTTTTTATATACATTCTCCACCACTATAAAGTAAAAAATATTACATTTTTATAATTAAGAGCATTATGCATCTTTAAGGAAGGCAGTAGAGAGTTAATAAAGTAACAGCAATCAAGTTGTCCACAATATTAGAGGCAAGGACATACCTTCCGCCAAGAGAGCCCTGATTTTTCTTTCTTATTTTAAATGCGTCAGGTTACCACAAGACTTCTTCAACACTCAGCCTAGTGACAACTAAAGTAGCAGGACTAAATTTTTCACAGGTATTCTACACAAGCAGAGTTTTGAGCTCACACAGAAAGATATGGCAAAGCAAACATGCTCAAATTATGGGGGCCAGTACAAACTGTCTTGCAAGAGAACTGCCTTGGCAAGATGGTTCTTTTTCCAGCACACTGAAGGAGAGGGAGAGCAAAATTATGCAGGGCATCATTTTGGACTACAGCCTCTTCTGTCCTTTGTTTGCCTATTTCCTGGGCACTTACTCTGTTTCAATATAATTGCAGGCACAAATTAGATATTTTCAGCAAATCAGCTTCACTCAACTCTTGTTTTTCTCTGTTTAATAAAGTCATTAATATATAGTGTTGCAGTACACTAGCTTGAGAATGCAGAGGGATTCTTGTGGCTCAGAAATTTTGTGTGGGAGGAATGAGGAAGATAAGTTATGTCAGACATCTGGATGTTGAAAGACAGACTCTTTTCAGCAGTGTACTCACTAAAAATAAAAGGCTTTTCTTAATGAAGAGGATACATGCTCACTGACAGTTTCTCACAAAGGATAAGTAGTACCTCTTATGATTTATAACACACTCCAAAAAAGGAAGTTGATACAGTTTTGCTATTATACTTCCAGAATAATCATCTTACACTGAATAATTGAAATAAGAAAAGTCTTGCTACCTGTGAAAAAAAATAACCAAGTCTAAACAATGCCCTCTTACAAATGCATTTCTAAAAATCTAGACCTAAAGCTAATTAAAAACTAGATCACTTACATTTTGTGCATTTATTTCAATCTCAAAAACAGGCACTAGCAAACAAACACCCACTCCCCCTCCTAAAACAAAAATCACATACAAAAATACCCAAAAACCCAAACCCACCACACCAACCAAACAAAAAAAATCTTAAAAGCACAAAACACTGAAAAACAAACCAACCAACCCTTACAGCAATCTTTAGGGAAAAAAAACATTTAAAAATGGATCTGAACTTCTAGGCAAAGAAACATTTATTTCTTCATTAAAAAAACAATAAATCACAATTGGGTAATTACAGTACAAGCCAGAAAGTCTACTAGTCTAATATCCCATAGCCACTTGTCTTCATCAACCAAATAAAGACATTTTTCTGGAAGGGTACCATCCATTTCACTCCTTCCCTTTTTCTTACCAGGATATTACCATCTGTAACATTAATAAGAATTACACTTACCTGTGATACCCTCTGCCAGTAGATCAGTCATTTTGCAGCACAGTGACAGTAATTTAGTAGTGTAATCATCTAAAAGCATTATCTAAACATATTGAAAAACACACAAGTATTTAGGTAAGTTGATCAGCTATAGCAAACCCATGTTATTGCCTTAACTTGCCGTGGAAATTTGAAGCTGAAATCTATTTCATTACTTTATATCTTTTCATTACCTGCATACAGCAATACTGCAGAAGAAAATCAGTCTCAAACAGCATTAGAAGGCAGCCCCCTACATGCAGGATATTCAAAGATGAGCTTCATCTTAACTAAGTAGCTTGTCCCCCCTACTCATACTAAAAAATACTTTGAAACTTTCACTTGGGCACAAGTCTTTTGAATTCTTGCTAATATACACAATGGCCTGCTTAAATATATCTGTACTTATTCTAAAACTGTTTTATAGCTTAAGCAGCTCAAATGGGTGAGTCCACATGTACTGGAGTGCGTATAATTTATGAAAGTAATAAAGTATAAGCCTTTGAAAAGAAAAGTGGAGATAAACAGTTTCTAATTTTTTTTCAAAACTAAAAAAAATAAGAGACAACTAACTATTTGTTCTCCCTATACTAGGCTTCAGATTTTTCAACATGTATTATACAGTGTTCAGAGTTACCAAACCTCAAATCTATCACTTGGATAGAAAACAATCTTAAGTGAAAATACCAGCCATTGTTTATTTATTTGTTCTCTACTCAGTGATATAGATTTCTTGTTCAAGTGATGACAACATTCTTACAAAAATAACAAAACTGTACCTTCCATTCTTCCTCTTTCTTGAAGTCATCAAACACTGCTGATTTTAGCTCTGTAAGAAGAAACAGTTTCTCAGTTAGAGGAATTAAATTGTTACTAAAAAAGAAAAAAATAATTCACTCATTTAGATTAGTATGTTTAGAGGCCTAAAAAGAATAATAAAAAAACCCCACATCGATAACTATGTCCACAGAATTCTTGACCACAAACTGTCCCTGCCTGTTTCTAGGTCTGTACACAAGGTGTAATAACAAATCTTTAGCCTCGTGAAAATTTTATTAACCTCCATATTTCTGGAGAACATTCTTGCCAATTAATTAGTCCTTAGCATTACACAGAGTTCTTTTTAATAAGCTGAATGCCCAACAATCTTGTCCAAAAGCTCAAATATATTTTTTCTACAATACTGTATTTTGTTTGCCTATAAAATAAACCAGAACATACAAATGCGTAATTCAGTTGTCTTGAACCTCATTTCTGTAATTAAAAAATTGAAGTCCATTTTCTCCCATGATAAAAAGAAACTTTACTCCAAGCTATCAGTGTACTAACACAGTGTACTTGCCCGTGTAACATTCCAACAATTTGTTTTGCCCTCAACCTGCAGCTGCCTCACCCAAATAACTGACCTAGGTTGCTTTACAAGCTCTTAAAATCATCTCACTACTCTCCAGCAAGCATTCTGAACACACCAAAAACCATCACAAGTCCAGGAATGATTAGTGCTCCATTTTTGTCCAAGTTTTCATTTTCTTCTTACAAATTTCATACCAATCACACATCCTGAATACGTTTTCTAGTTTTGTCTTCTTTGAATTAGTCTAGAAAAGCATTTTTTCTTCTACCTTTACTTCCTGATCTAGATAAGAACTATACACAAGGCTGCAGGAACTGCAGACTGCTAAATCCCTATGTGAAAAAATAAACAAACAAACAAGGAAGCCACGCCTTGGCAAAGTCAGTGACACACTTTATAACAGTTTATAACACACTTCCTGAAGAAAGGACTGTAAACAAGTGTTACAAAAAATAAAGTTGCAGAAGTGCCAAAATTAACGTAGCTATCTGTGACTAGGCTAGAACCCATTATACAAGTCTAGAACAGAATTCCTTGTGGAAAAACTTTATTTACAGATAGACACAGAGAGCAGCTGTATATAGCTAATGTCAGGATTTTATCCACAGGACTACTGCCTCCTAAACACAGGTGCTTCCCCTACCCCCATAACTGTGAGCTGACAACAAACTTGGGTGAATTAACTTTCCCACATACTTCTGCTTCAATTCAGTCTAAAACTGCACCTAACAGAAGGGGCTATCACAATGGCACAGAGGGGTTTTTAACAGCACCATGACATAGCACACGTACAACTCTCTTTGTACACACACCACAGGTACTTCTGTACCTATTCACAGAACAGGAAGAAGATACACATTGACACAAACTGCCACATAAACCACCAACACCACTGACATACTATTTTCAGACAAACCAGCTTTTTAAAAAGAAAAAAACACCAATATGTTTGCTGAACCATTAAGAAGCAGCAGTTTATGGCCTTCAATTACCCATAAACAGAGTGCCACACTATATCTAAAACTCAGTTCATCAATTTTCATTGTTGTTGAAATGGAAAGACAAGAGTAACTAATTATCTAACAAAGCATTCTTTTCATGAGACACCTCAACTAAACTTGCAATATAAATGTTTTATTATTTACATTGCTTCACCATCACTCTAATCTTCATTCCTCAGTCTTGTCCGCACTGGCAACACCATTTTCAGAAGTCCTTACAGGCCCTGGTAACACTATAATGCTTTGATCGCATTCCTTCCTTGAGATGTCCAAGTCTTCTACAAAATATCTCAGGACAAAACGGTGGCTTTACAGTCAAAGGCACACATAACCTAACAGACCAAGACAGGAAAAGCAAAGCAGCAAAAGTAAGGATTTCTAAAGGTCAAGTTGTAAACAAAGGTATCTAATTCATACAAGCAGGGTATAGGTGCCAGCAATTGAGTACTGAACATCAGAGAGACAGTCTTTCCTCTTTATATCCTCTTCCAGAGACACAAGCAACCAGATCAGAGCTTTCAGGTGGAAGCAGAGGAGGAACAGAAAGAAGACAGCAGCAGGACCTTCCCATTTCAGTGACAGTCACTAGGCTGGCTGAACAGCTCATGGAGTCACAACCCCAGTACAATTAAGCCCGGGGTGAGGTGGCTGCTAATGTCTTTTCTCAAAGGTCTCACACTACCTGAAATACCATGAGCCCTTCTACTGCAGCAAGGAAGGGAGCAGTTACAATTTCCTTTTCTGTAACAAACACCAGCAGAACCTGCTCCTAAACATGGAGATAAAAATCTGCAGTTCATTTGTAAGACTACGTGGGAACACCTTCAACTTCTTCTGCTGAAACCGTGAAGCGCAACACAGAGCGGGCAGTGCCGCTCCGTGACACACACCCGAGCCCCTCCTGAGGCCGGAGCGCTCTCCAAAACCGCCAGTTCGGATGCAACAGAGAAGTCCTGGAAGAGCTGGCTTCAGTTTAAGCTCTCCAAGAGCCGGCCCGGCGGGCTACAGCCTCCAGAGCTCACCCTTATCTCGGAATGAGGCGCGAGCGTCTCTATCCAGGCGCTGTCACCGCAAGGCGGGGCAGCCACCTCCCACCCCCGCGATGAGTCACCAGGTGTAGCAGCCGGGGAGAAGCCACCACCCACAGCCTCCGCCGCCCACCCGGCTCCCCGCAGGACCGCCCGGGACCGACTCCGCTCGCCCTCCTCGGCTCCGACAACAGCGCGGCTCCGGCCGCGGCCCCGGACCCACCCCGGGCGGGCAGGGCACCCCCGACCCCACACGGCGGGATACGCGCGGGCGGCGCCCCGGCGGCGGCGGCTTCCAGCCGGCCCGCGCACACCGAGCGGCCCCGGGGCGCTCCCGGCCCGGGGCGGGGGCAGCAGCCCCGCACTCGCTCCCGCACTCACTCACTCTGCCACACAGCGCCCTTCAGCCCCCGCACCGCCGGCGCCATCTTGCTGCCAATCCCTCCTGGCAGCACTCCCTTCCCCTCCCTCTTCAGGGACGGCGGGCGGAGCCGGGCGGCGGCGGAGGGCACTGCCTGCTCCTGGGCGGGGCGGGCTCCTGCCGGCCGGGACCGGCCCCAAGGGGGCCGGCCCCCCTTCCTCTGCCACCATGGGGTCTGTAATTCCCATTGGGGAAGCGCTCGGTGACCAGGGCTCGTCCCCTGAGGAAGGAGTTTCCTGCTGCTCACCTGTCAGCAGGTGAGCCCGGGACCCGGGCGCCGCTCCCGACCCCCGCGGCGGCTCCTGGGGCTGCGTGTGGAGCAGCGGGGGGAGCTGGAGACCGCAGAGCCGGGGGAGCGCCGCGAAACTTGCCGTGGTCCCGGGTCCCCTCGCGGCGAAAACCGGGGCTCCCTCATGAAAGCCGTCCCAGGGTTCCCTCTGACATTCGTGTAAAGCCGCCAAGGAAAACACTGTCGGGTCATAGAACGACACCGTTTGTTGTCGCCTACAATCGTCTGTCAGAAGTTACAGTTTGAAGACATAAAGTCGTGTTGTCAAAGGGAAACCAGCAGCTGGTACAGATACGAAGGAATATGAGGAAAATATTGAGGAAGGGTGGTTTCCAGTCGGTATGGCAGTGTTCCATGAGAAGGGGAGCACCACGAGGGCATCATTCCCAACAGAAAAGAAGGTCCTTGTATGTAGACAAAAATGCAGTAGGTAATGAGCTGAAGAGCAAATCTCAGATTTACATTGGGCTTAATTATTTTATGAATCTTGTATAACCCATACGGAGACTGCCTCCTGTAACAGAAGGGGGAAAACCCCACGGCCCGTCGGCGCTGTGTGGGCCCGTGTCCCCAGGGTTTGGTGGCCGCTGGCCGGCAGGGCTCCAGCGGGGAGGAGCGCCCAGCCCAGCGCGACCTCCTCTGTCCCGGGGAGCGAGCCCGCAGTGACAGCACTGCCGAGAAACAGAGCTGCTCACAGCAGGGATCGGCCTCGGCTCATCCCCGTGGCAAGGCTGGAACAAAGCTCTGACAAGATGTGTGGTGCGAAAAGTAAATCATTAGCATTTACTGGACTGCTTCTCAACTGCCTAGAAATGGTGAGTGCAACTCATTTGCTTTAAAGCTGTTTTCAACGATGATATTGTACTCTGTAAATGTAAACTAAAAGTTAGGATGGAGACTATCATGCAGATGCTTCCACACTGGTATTGAGTTACTATTACACTTTTGCACTGTTTGCAAGTGACTGAAAAAGGAAAGGATATATTAGGATTCAAGGCCTTTCAAAGTGTGTCAACAACTGAAAACGGGATCAATAGGAAGATTCAGAGAGGAAAAATGAAGAAGCAGTACAATCTGGACTCCAGTACCAAATCGCATTGGTTGCATAATCTTTCCATGCTTAAAGAATCTAAGCCAATACATCATATCAGTAAAATGTGTTAAAAACATAGTATTTTAAGTTGTTGTTGTTGCTATTAACATTCTTAGGTTTTTAATTTTCCAAATAAAATATTTCACACTGTATTTCTAATTTTTTTACATCTTCCTTTTCAGATCTTTGCAGCTAACACAGGTAAATCTTCAAAATGGTATTTTGGTTTTGCCTGCCTGTTTTTTAATGGGTCTGAAGAAAACACACACTTGTGATTTTTAATAAAATATTCTGTAAGTTCTAGCAGCTTTATAAACAAAAATTGTTTTCAATTTTGATTCAGCTTTAAAAAATTATGTTGATATCTTTATAAATTTTAAACCTCATTTTTAGGAGTCCCAATTCTGTTGGGCACTTGCACAAATATTCAGACTTACACCTTGACACTGGTGTGAACCAGAGAGAACACTCAGATGAACAAATTCTGCTGTCCACTACCTACATAACTGTGCTACAAATAGGATTCAAATTGTCCCATATTTGCACCATATTAATTGTTATATATTTTAATAATAAAAATTAAAAATCACCAAAAGAAAACGCCACCACACTCCGTCCAAAAAAAACCCCAAAATCAAACAAAAAAACCACACCAGGAGAAGCACGCTTTCAAATATCTCCAATGTTTTGCATTTTATACTTTCTGCAGTCTTGTATTTTGTACCTCCAACTCCTCACACCTTAAAATGTGAATATTGAGTTTTTTGAAAGAAGAGATTACAAGGTTACAAGAAATGCTTTCAGCATTCATGCACTCTCTGGTGATAGTACGTTCCTGCATATTCTGCACTCTCAAGGGCCTTAAATGCTTGATCGTTGCAGACATGTTGCAGTATCTGGACGCTTACTGTAACATATTCTTTTATGATTAGCAAAACAACTGATCCTATTTATTTATGGAATAGTGTTGACATTGCTTGTATAGTCACATACGGATTATACATGGTATTTTTTAAAACGATTAGACTACAGCATATCGGGAATTTAAGAAAAATAGCCATCATCACAGCATAATATTATGAGAGTGAGCAGCAGTTATTACAGTAATTAATGGATTACAAAAGTGAGCAAGGGAAATAGCACTCCAAATTCAGCAGAATGCCTATTGTCTGAAAATTAGGTCACATAGATGCTTGATAAGGCACTGAACAATATTCTTGTCAAGACTTAATTCAGGAATGACTGAAATGGTTTTTGATAATGATTTTTTTTGGGGGTTTTAGGTTTCTCTGTGTCTATATATGATGTGACATCGCAAAGCATTTCTCTCAGATGGCCCAAGTTTTCAGGAGCCTCTTCTTACAGCGTCACAGCTACAGCTGTGAATACTGTAGGCCATTCATTACTGGCTCATTTCAGCGATGTTACACTTAAAGCAACTCTAACTTCATTAATTCCCAATACTGTTTATGCTATACAAGCAGAAGCCATTGACAAGAATGGAATTATTCTTGCAGAAACACAGATTATGCAGTCAACAGGTTAGTAAGAGAAACTGGGAAGTATAATTTCTATTGTCCTCTGTATGACTGGGATTTCATCCTTGATGTTTCATTGTACTGGTAGGGAAAATCTGCCATTCCTGTTGAAGCCTTTTGCTGGTTCTCCTACTGAGTTCAATATTAGCATGATTAGCTCCTTTTCTCCTCTCATCTTGTTCCAAGTTTTCCTGATCTGGCACGCACAGCTTTCTCAGACTGCAGCTTTTTTAATCACCTACCCTTTCATTACAAAAGCAGATATGAAGCTCTTTGTACATTTTTCAGAACTGCTAAACAGTAATTTTGTTTTATTCACAAAAGGACTTGTAGCATGTAAGTCACTGATGGATATTGAAGAAGAATCTACATAAACAGAAATCCTTTTTTATTTCACCACTGAAATGTAATTGAAAAAATATTCTGTTGAAATTCTGTTTTTTAAATAATTTAGCTGATAATTTTGAGAAATAGCCATTACTTTTCCAATTGAATGTTTCTTATAAAATTAATTATTACAATAAAATTTGAAAATAAAAAAGTAGAGGTGTTTTATCATGGTAAGTGTAAACAAGTAGAAGTATTTATCCTGCTAGCTGTACACAAAATGTCTATTGCTAGCTTAGTTTTGGAAGAAGAGATATTAATTATTAATGTTGTGTAATTTATTTCCGATATACATCATGTGCTATATACTCTCTACTTGACTGTTAGGCAAAAAACTCTGTTAGACTTGCACATGGATTTCTTGCACAGAAATTTTTATGCATGGCTACTAAAGACAATATTTTAAAAGAAAAAAAAAGTATAGTGCAATATCGTACTCAAAGATTGCAAAAGACCCACCTGCAAATGTTCCATAGGCAAGGTCAGACAGAATATCTGTTACCATTTTTACAAGTGGGGCAACATAGGGTGGGTGACTGTAACTGATAAGGTGCTTGGAACTAGGAGAGCAGACCTAACGCTCAGTTAAATAGCTGTGGAATACTTGCTGGGTCTCCCAAATCCCAGGTGAGCTGCCTTGCTTTAAGTTTGCCTCAAGGTGCATACTTTGTCCCAAATATTTTACATTCCTTTTCTTAATTTTATGTGGGATACACCTTCATTTTATCTTTTCTTCTTTTCTAGTGAGTGTATATCTGAGTATAGTGAGTCTAAGTATATCTGCTCTGAGCAGGGGGTTAGACGTCTGTGTGGAATGTTCAGAGCACTCAGCATTTCACAGGGCTCAGTTCCCCAACTTAAGCATGTCTATCATTATTTCCATTTTAGCTCCAGACATACCTGTTATTGACCAAGCTTATTCAAAACTTAGCAACAGTATCACAGTGGAATGGAGAGCGGTACCTGGGGCTACTAGTTACATGCTGACTGCACAAGATGGAGATTCCTTCATTGAAACTGTAGTTAAAAATTCTCCAGGCACAGTGACGGGGCTGAAACCTGCCACCTTGTACAGAATCACTATCAGATCTATAAATTCAGGAGGAAAAAGCCAGCCTTCACCTTTCAGAAAAGCAAAAACAGGTGGACTTTAAAATTCTTATTTCAAATTCTATGATGTTATTATAAAGCATTCATGCATGTACCTGTCCTGAATTATTATAGTCTTGCATTTTAAATTGTACTGATCACATTCTCCTTTCAGTTTTTGACAACTAGAATTCAGGCATTTGACTTAATGACCAGGACAAGAGTCTGAATTAATGGTTTACTTTATGATAGGACGTTAAGTTAAATATTCAATTGGGAGTTTTACTAGAATTTGTATGAATATATGTATTTTACTTTAACAAAAGGCATAACTTGAAGGAATAGAAGAAATGAAGAAACAACCAAAAGTATAAAATAATAAGACAATGTAAAACTTAAAGGACAGGAAATGCAGTATCTTCGTGGTGATTTTCATTCTTCAACACTCGCAACCTTTCATACTTTCTGCATGAGTTACATTCATTTTACAAAACCTGTAATATAATAATTGATGCATCACAAATCACTTTCTATATTTATTTTATCAAGCTCACATCCATTTATTTTTCTACTTTTGTTGTCACTGAATTTGTCTCTCAGAGTTGGTGATTGTTGTTTCTGTATTCATCTCTGTATTCATTTCAAATTTGGCCCTTTCAAACTGTATTACTGAAAAACCAGAAGCTTGATTTTGTTCTTTCTCTACAGTCCTGGCTGCTCCGATTCTGTCTGTTAGTTCTCCGAGCTGTGACTCCATTGCACTGAGCTGGAAAGCTGTGTATATGGCAGCTGGATTCTCTGTGTCACTCATGAGGTCAGATGGTTTGGGCAGAATGCTGAGGGAGAACACCACCAATACCTCCTTGATATTTACAAATCTAGATCCAGGAACTCTCTATACTATCAAGGCTTATGCCTGGAATGCCAATGGGATGCCTGGAGATGATTTCACATATAACCAAAGAACAAGTAAGAAATTTTCTTTTCTGAAACCGAGTCAGCATAAAAAAAACCCCAAACCAAAACAGCAACAATATAGCAGGAAGTATTTATGTGTGTGTATGATTGTGTTATGTTTTTCAAAGGTACACTGGGTAGATTTTCAGATCACATAATTTTTGCCCCATCTCAAAGTTTATGAAACCTCAGATGACATGACTATGTTTAATAAATATTACTGAGGCAAAGATATCATTAACTGTCACTAAAGTGGTACCCAGGACAGGTGTGCATAAGGATTACACAAGTTTAGACTGATTTGAGGATTTTTCTAACTGTGAGAAGCAAATATTCAAATAAGGCAAGGAGTTTCAGCAGAAAGCTTTGTGACAGTGTATAACTAGAACTCTTTCTTTTTAAAAATGTCACTTTAACATGAATGAGAGTAAGGTCTGCACCGCAAAAAATGTATTTAGTTTGCAAATTATGAAAAAGCTCATGTCTGTAGGCCATAATCTAAGTTGTATTTATGTGTTCCAAACTATTGATATACCGTAGGTCCTGATGCACCGGCGGATGTTAAAGTAGCTTTTAATAGTGGTGCTTTAAGAGTTTCTTGGATGCCAACAGAAGGAGCTCTAACTTACAGTGTCACAGCCTCCAATGGACTCTTGAAACTGAAGTGTAACACGTCCTCCTCCTCCTGCATGGTGCCGTCCCTCCAGTGCAGCTCTGAATATTATGTTTCTGTCACAGCATACAATGATGCTGGATCCAGTAAACCTACTGATGCAGTAAGCTTAAAAACTAGTATGTGTCATTGATCCTTATATAGCTTATGGCATTTTAACATATATTTCTTTAATTTCAAATGCAAATTAGTCCATTGCAATTCACAAGTGATTCTCAAATTCTGCTTCTGACCTTTGTGCATGAATGGTGCCATATTCTTTTCTATTTCAGGGATAAAAGCCTAAACTTTCTTCATATTTCTGTAAGAAAAACTTACAATGGTGTATATATTGTTGGCTGAAACAGTAAGCCTCCATTTTCCTGTTACTAGAAGTACATATTGTAAAGTCAATTTTCTGAGTGTAAAACTAATGTAAGGAATAACAGGTCTGTGAGGAAATGGCAGTAAGGATTGCTTCTGGGCTGAGAACTGCTCTAGGCCAAGTCTAGTTTTTAGTTAGAAAGGAGGTCAACAAAACCACATTCAGTCAAAGTAGCACCACTGGACTAAATAAGGAAACCATCAACCATCATCAGAACAGAAGCTCACTTGTTTCAGCTACAGCACCAGTGCCATGTCAAAGGTTATTGCTTCCTGACCTGTTAGATGAACCACCCCTGTAATCAAAATCTAAAACATTTCTTTTATTATATGTTACTTTAAAGACACAACACTATTTACTTAGTTATTTGATGTAACCTGCCTCATTTTGACTTTTCATTGATAGGAGTTAGAGATCAATCCCGTGAGCAACTCTGGGGTGGATCTAATGGGATGAGAGAGCCTTACACGGTAGACAAGCTGTGATCTCAGGCAACACTGCTTCAGCTGGATCATGTACATTCACTCTAATAGCAGCAAGCTACACTTCTTTGAATTAGAAAGAAAGTAAATGTTACTTAAGCAAAAGCCATAGAGTTTGCAGTTTAATGTGACCTGATGCCACCAGAAAGGGAACCTAAGCAAAGGACAGTTCTACTCAGACACAGCCAGTGAGTTTCATACAAACATATAAAGGGTTTTCACACATAACAGCTTTTGGATGCTAATTGTTATTCAAGCTAGTATTACAATTACCATCCAAACCTACTATTTGTGAGCACACACTGTGCCAGTTCCTTTTGAAATACTGCCCAGTGTCACTGGTTTTTTCACTGTTCAACAGGGGCTCCTTAAGCAGAATTTGTTTCTGTAAAACATGAAGATAGTATCTATTTTGTTCTGTAAAAATCATACCCACTTGTCATCTAAATGTGAGTAGCACCCTCTGTAAATGCAGATAATATTGCTGTTTGCTTGAACAAGACAGAAACTGAGTAGAATAATTCTGTATATTCCTGATTTTCCGTTACAACGTAAAAGTGTAACTTCAATAAAAATATTGTCGTTACAATTCTTTTCTTTTTTTTTTCTTTTTTTTTTCCAGTTCCTTGTGCACCAGTAAACATATCAATTGAAGAGGATGAACCTGGTCACTTGCTGGTGTCATGGTCTAGCGTCAGTTTTGGTCATTATTATGTGGTTTTTGTGAAGAGTGATGATGGCTTGGAAGTGCACTGCAACACATCATATACTCAATGTCATTTCCAGTCAGACTGTGGCTTCACTTATTTCATTAGTGTCTTTGCATATAACAAGGCAGGGCAGAGTCCTTTAGGTGATGTATTCAATTACACTACTGGTAAGTAGCCACTTATTCTTGCAAATTCATTTGGATCCTTTAACTGTGTTTATGGACATTTTTATGGGAAGATACTGACTTAAACTTCTATTTTTATTCAGGTTTTGGGCAAAACACACAAAGGTTGGCTGAGAAAAAGGAACACTTCCCATTGCCATTAAATTTAACTTGGGTAGTCAAGTGCAACGTGCATACAAACTTGAAAATAGTTTAACAATTCACAATCATCAATCAGGCAAGGACATATGAATAACTCACAACCCTGGTGTAACATTTGAACTCTAGTCCTGTTTAGTTTTTTCTTTTACCTCAGGAATGGTGTGTCAAAATCTTAAACTTCCTTATAGAGAGTTTTCATACTTGGAAAATGAAAAAAGATTAACCAGTTCAATGGGAAATTGAGAAGAACGTTGTTTGAGTTATTTAACCTCTGGATGCTTTTAAAGCTTAAACCAAAGATATATGTAATTCCTGTGTCTGACCTAAACACTAGGATGTCCTGTATTGATTTCGGAAGGAGGGGCATTGAATTAATTCAGGAAATAAGTCTGGGATTCATGAGACTGTTTGCACAATATTGGTCGCCTTTGGAGATTTAAGACATGAAGCACATAGGTAAATGAAACAAGGCTCCTATTCATGCCAGTTTCCCATTCCCATTCGAGTTTCCGTCTCTGCCTCATCTGTTCCCAGCTCCTTGTTGCCCCAGCGACTTCAGGGCCGTGTTCGTGTCCAGCGACACCGTGCGGGTCACCTGGGCTCCTGTGCGAGGCGCCGACCTGTACGAGACCAGAGCTGCCGCCTGGAGCACGGTGGTGCTCTGCAATGACACGGCCCCGGCCTGCACCCTGTCAGCTCTGCACTGCAACACCCGCTACAACATCACCGTTCATTCCTTCAGCGAGGCCAGGGGCAGCAACACCTCATGTGTGCCCAAGCACGTGGCAACAGGTACCGTGAGCACTCGTGTTTTCCTTTAGCAGGAGAAATAATTATTAGGCACCACAGTGATTCATGGGTGAAATCCATTACTGGATGCTAACTTACTGTAACTGATAAAAATTAAAAAAACAACCCTCCAAAACAGGAAGTCTTTAAAAATATACTGTAAGCAGGGACCTAAAAACAGATTTGGATTGAAAGCTTCTGACAGCTCCAATATTTTGAAAATCAGATTTACAGTTTATCTTTGGTTTTGTACACAAACTCCTTATGTTGTCAGTTCTGTCACAAGGTCTAAATTCTCACCAAGAGTAAGTATATAAGGATCATATAGTTTTTCCAAAGTAGTTTGTTAGTTCTAACTGGAATTTAATTTTCATGTCTAACTTACATAGTATGTATAAACAATCTGTTTAAATACTGTTAATATGAAATATTTCAGCTCCCTGCAGTCCCGAAATTAAAAATGTCTCAAAGGAGGGTCTTTCTGTAATCAGTGTACAGTGGCAATCTAACAATGAAGACGCTACATATGTTGTCACTGCTAGAGGAGAGGCTGGACTTTGGCATTGCACAAGCACTGGAAGCTCCTGTACCTTAACTGATCTTCCCTGTGGATCTGCTTTCTCTGTTAGTGCTATAGCAAGATCACCAGCAGGACAGAGCTTACCAAGCTACAGTGTCCCTTTAGAGACAGGTATGTGGGAATTGTATGTTAGCAGCATAATATTAAAATAGTTCTATGACTCTTTATATGTCTTTGGCTGGTTTTTTTTAATTACAGTATGTGCATATTGTGCTACCTATTGCTGGATGCCCTTCATGTGAACCTGTCTGTATCTTTGTGTGTGTGAGAATGATCACTTGGCAGTTGCCACATACTGAGAAGCCTTAGTGCAACCAATTATTTTGTGGCACAGCTAACTAAAATGCAATAACAAGCCACTAATGTAATACATAACTTCTTTGTCAGCATTTTGATATTTAATATTACTAGGAGAAGCAATGAGATAACATCCACATCAACAAATAAGTGTAAAGAAGATTAAAACACATCCTACCCACCACTCCTGCTATTAATTTTCTAACAGAGTTTTGTCCTCTGCCACTTAACCCAGACAATCCCCAGGCCCTGTACAGCAATTAATGTACACCAGGGTCTATTTTTAACAGGCAGTTTGGCTGCAGTCATCTTGCATTGTAAAGGAAGAGACTTTAAACAAAGACAGAGCTGGACTGAGCTAAATGACTTGAGGAGTAGAGGTAGACCCTGCTTAATTATCACATGTACTCTGATATTCTGATGAAAAATTTTAGTAATTTTTCGAATCTTGGTGAACGATCATGTTGTAGTAATTCCAGTATTATAACCCACTGTTACAGACAAAATTGATCTTGTATTGACATTCTGTTTATTAGAAGCTTGCCAACAATGTCAAGTATTTTTCAGCATGCATTTGCCTGAGAAGTATGCACTTCTTCATTCCTTTGCTCTTGATCATGTACAATTCTGGCTGCAACCCAACAAAATACCTTCCAAACCAGAATTGACTTCTCTATTTTTTTCTTTTCTTTAAGCTCCTTGTTGCCCTAACGACCTGATACTAACTCAAGTGACACAGTCTGTAACAAATATCAGCTGGTCTGCTGGGAAGGGTGCCCAGACATATGTAACAACACTGGAGTCTCCAAAAGGACAGGCAAAGTGTCGCACTCTTCAGAACTACTGTCTCCTGGGATGCATCACATGTGGCACCAACTACACAGTGTCTCTGAAAGCAATTAGTGAAACGGGTCTGACGTCCAGTTGCACATATCAGGGATATTCTTCCAGTACGTAAATTGTAAATGCACTTGGGAAGAAAAAGACTCAATATACAACATACTTTGTATACTGTTGCTCTCATACAAATAGCACAGCTGAAATGCAGTATATACTTAGTACACTTGCAGCTCCCTCTTCTAAATAAATGTTCTTTGGATTATTTTCATATAATTTAAAACCTGTTCTTATGACAGCCATCAGGTGGCCATATAAAGAAGTATTAATAACATTGCTCCAGAATCAATTTCTTAATTTAAATTATGCTATGGCATAATTAAATTTTAAAGACCTCAAAAGGATTCTGGGCACTTTAAGGTAGGCCTCATGCCAGGTGAGAGCGACAATATTCCAACATGTAAAATGGCTGAATTCCAGCTCCATAATATGAGTCTGATAAAACATTTTCTTTCCTAGTTCAGTTCAAGAATTGTTTTGGCTTTCTGTGAGATAATTATTTCTCAGTGAAATGCTGATAATCATAGTAATTTGGTTTAAAATGCACTCTAGAAGTTCACAAAATTTGCTTATTACATTTCTCACTTTATTAGGTGCTTGCTGCCCTTCTGGGGTGAAGCTATACAGACTGAGCAACAGTGGCATCAGGGTGTTCTGGCGAGCCTCTGATGAAACAATAAACTACAGCACTGATTTACATGGCTCAAAAGGCAACTTCACCTGTATCCCCAGCGCAGGTCGAAGTCACTGCGACATCACCGAGATACCCTGTGGGGATGTCTACACAGTGGTGGTAGCTCCACTTACTGATAAGGGTCCGAAGCTCACATTCTGTCCTAAAAGAATATATTCAGGTAAAATTTAAATTTCTTTGAATGATCTATTTTTGTCCATGCATGCTAGATGGTTAAAATGTAATCCAAAGTTATGCAGGTAAAGGTGGCATGTTCCAGTGTTGACTACAGAGTAAACTTCGTGGGTGCTGTCTTGCAGTATCTGTGACAGGAACTTCACAGGAGCATTTTGGGACAGGGCATACTTATCTACACAGGCCCCCTTAACTAGATTACCTGTATCCTGGTGAAGGTTAGGAGTGGTTACAATATAAAAACAAATAAATGAGCATTTTTTTTGTTTGTTTTTGAATTTGGTTTATGGATGTTTTTTAAATAAAGAAACAATTACTTCTATGAACCACTCCTAAGCACATTTTGAACTAATAATTGTTTAAAGAGGTAGTAATTACTTTGGGATTCCTTTCCTAGGGCGTGGATTTAATCCCTTTTAAAAGTACTGGTATCTGATGGGATTGCACAGTTGTATAGATGGACTACATACTACAGACTGATAATGTTTCACACCTCACATTTATACCACTGTTTCATGTCATTTCAGTAACCTGTTCTGGAAGCTCTGTTGGAATGGGTAAGAGCACAAAGTACATTCATTACAAATTCATGATGTTTGTAAAATATGTTCGCATCGTTTAACTTCAAATAAGATGCATATAACATAAATTTGATCATCAAGGCTTCTGTTAGTGTTATGCAGGTTTGTCTCACCCCCCATCTTATAATGTATAATTAAAAAAAACAATCTTATCTACATTGTGGCCTGTATACCATCATGCATAGTCACAGCACTTACTGTTTATCAGATAGCACAAAATAAAAGGCAGGCTTATCTTTTATAGCCTCACCATATCCCATTACAAATTAAAAGAGGTTGCAGTTCTGATTTTTATTTTTAAAAAGCTTAAAAAAATGTGGCTTACCTCAACTTATTCTACCTTATTTCTTCTGGGGTTTCAACAGGATAATCTTGTGCTTTATTTGCCTACATAAACTGCTAGAAACAACTTCAAAAGCAGCCACTGAAAGACAGTTGCTTTTCCATAACTGAAATTGAATTTCCAAATTCTTTTATAGTGATTTATAGAGGGAAGAGCAATGCAGAACACATCTAAATGAAAATTCTGGTTCAGATAAGGAGGTAAGTTACAAGAATTACAGCTGATATTATGATGTATTAATCAAACTTTTCCTACTGATTAAATCTTTGGGATTGGAGATAATCCATATTTACCTCCAAAAGCTCATGTTGTCTACTCCTACTATCAATACTGATTTGTCCTCCATTTATAATAACCCTCTTTCACTTCATTAAACCTTTTCTAATACTATCCTATAGTTCCCCGTAAAAGCCTTCAAAATACAAACGGATCAAGATATTCTTCAGCACCCATTTACTTTCTCTGTCTGCCAGCTAAAATTGCTTACTCTTCAACACAATTACCAGCGTTCTGCACTATTTACAGCCCCTGTCTCAAAGGAATGGCAAGAAATCACTGCTGACTTTTTTCCCCCCAAGGCTGATCATCTCCTTTTTGCTGCTATTCACCTACAGCTATCCTGGATGTTAAGGTGGTTGATAACACCATTCTCCCTAAATGCTCCTTTCACTCTTTCTTTCCCTGAAGCTGGAAAGACAACATCTCTGCTTAATGGACACGGTCACAGCTGCTCGAGGACTGGGAGGAGGGAAGCTGAACGGCTAGTCATATCTGAGATCTAATCCAGGACATCAAATTTGAACCCCAGATGACAAGATCATTTTTAAAATGCAGCTGAACACTTGATGGAGATGTCTGTAATCTTGAACTATAATTTTCTGTGCAAGCAATCACTTTTAAAAGTTCTTCCAAGAACCGTTATTATCAGTAGGTGTGTTCCAGAACTAATGTACCAATGAAATAAGGCTGAAATAAAGATCAGGAGAGTGAAATTAAACTTCTTAAAAAAAGGAAAGAAAACAAAACAAAGCAACAGCAGTTCAGGTAGAGTCACTCAAAAGTAGCTTGAGGCTTAATCAAGTATTCCAAGGCTATTTCATTTTACTTCAAATTTTAAAAAAAGTTTCTTCCTTTACAGTTTTGAGAGGTGACTCATGAGGGGCAAACAGAATGTCCTCTTCACATCAACTGACTTGCTTTGCACTGTAGCTAATGAAGAACTGACAGATATTACTAGAATTTTAATTTCCCATTTTTCAGAAAAGGCAGGACCTTTTCTCATACTCCTCACTGGTTACTTTCTCAGCCAACACGGAAAGCAAAGTTCAAGGTCAACAGTTCTACAAACACATGTAATCTTACAAAAAGAGTCTTCAGAAACTCACGTGTATAAAGGTAACCAAAGACAAAAGGCATTTTTACAGAGCTGTATTAGGTATCTCAGTCACTGCTTCTGATCACCTGCACAAAATCATCTCACGGCAATCTCACCCTTCAATACATTGATTGTAGATGGCCCAAGAATTACATGTTGCTTCTTAAAACATCTGTATTTAGTCATGGTCAAACAAGTCTTTCTTTAGGAAACATTATTTGAAACTGCCTTGCATTAGTTAATAAACAGTTGAGAACTTTTCTCATTAATTGGAAAAAAAAATAGTTATAGGCTTTCTTCCTCAAGGGTTTTATTTAAATATTTCTTCTTTGGAGACAGCACTGTGAAACACTGCCACTAAGGCCAAAGTATTTAACCAGGTGGCTACTAACTGGATTTTCAGGTCTAAAGCAATCAGTTTCTTTCAGAACCAAATTCAGGCCCCAAATTTCTTCTTCTCATATAAACAATTCTGGTAATTCCATGCTCTAACAGTAATTCTAATGTTTTTTAAACTGTTGGTGTATATTTTCTCAATTCTTCCTGGCATACAAACCTTAACATCTCAAAATTGCACACTACAAACAGGACAATGCTGTAGTACTGTTTTCATCAGCTCCCCTCACTTTTATAATTGAAAAGAAGCATAGTTGTAACAGAATGTATTATTTGCATGTCTGTTGGGGAAAAAAAGGCAAAAAGCTGAAGAAGAGTAATGATTCAGCTCAAAAAAAATGGTTAGGAGATGTACACAATTAACCAAAACAGCAAGGAAAAGCAACACAACCAAACTGAGCCAGATCCACACCTCCTGTTGTGGATCAATCTTCCAGACATTGTTCCTCAGGCATTAGGCATTGTCTAATAGTAATTAACACTGCTGATATGTGAAATGACACTGGCAATCACTCAGATGATTAAAAAATTTTGGTGAGGAGTAGTTCCAGGTTCTCTCCAGACTGAGGTAAATGCTTTTTTATGGGTCATGCTGACTTAATGGACAATGACATGTAGTGTTTTCATAGATTTAGTTTCTACACTACTTACTAGTATGAAGCTCTGGTCTTTATGAAATAAAAAAACCACAACCAATAAATCCCCTCACCTAAATAACAAAAAATACCTCTAACAAAAAACTCCAAGCAACCCAACCCCACAAAGCTCTTGAAAGAAGAGACTTGAGAACCAACAAGGTACATGGGCTTCATAGCAGTGCAAAAGGCTCAAACATCAGCAGAAGTTCTCTCATTGCTTCAGGTTCCCTTTAAGGGTGGAATTTGTATAACGTTAAAATGTTACTAATGCAGTACTTACCGTTGGAGCCACGGGAAATTTCAAAGACAGATGAGGCTTCCCAAGGGATAACTATCCCAGCTAGGTAACTATGGACATGTGGCATACTGTGGGAACTTTGGGTTCACAGTGCTTCAGTCGTTGTGCTTTTACCCTGAGAACTGAAGAGTGCACAGACCGTCAGAGAGCAGCTCCTGGGGAAGTTCCCATGCCTCCAATTAAAACTGGCAGAAATTTTCTCCGAAAGCCCTGAGCTGAATGCCCAGCGAAGCTGCACTGCAGCAACTGCAGCAGAGTGAGCAGCACCGGCACCTCCACTGAACCCACCACTGCTCACCAGAGCTGCTTTCACACCACAGATCCTTTTGGTTTCAAGGAAGGTCATGTGAAATAAAATGATATCAGAAAGACAAAAAGGAACTAGAGTCCCCAGATCCAAACCCAAGAGCTGCACGAGACTAAATCCCAAGGATAACTTAAGACAGGTGTCTTGGTTTAAGTAATTTTCATGGGTCTTGGTAATGAATATTGTGCCATCTCTGCTAACTCAAGTACATAATATGCATCATATTAAATCCGGAAGTCAAAAAGTACTATTTATTGGAAAATAAAAGCACAGTCCTCAAATTAGTGCACTTGTAAGAGGCACTGGCACAGGCTGGTCTTTTCACAAGCTGTATCGAAATGTTCACCATCTTTGTTGTAGTAAGACAGCCCTTCTCCACTTTCAGGTCAAAGATTGTGTTTCTCAAATACCTGTATTTTTCCTGCAAATAAACCATTCTTTCACTGTATTTCCCAACAATGGCAGAGGAGGGGGAGCCCTGAAGGAACAACTGGAAATCAGTAATCCATTTTCCCTGACAGAACACTGGCCTTGCAGCCTCTCTGCCCAAGAATGTACTTGCTTCAGAAACTGAAGGTTAAAAACAAGGCCAAAAGAAGCCCTCTAGACACAAACATGATTAAGTTGTCCTCACTGTTTTGACTTGGCAGACTGCAAAGACAGCTCTAATAATCTACTAGACAGGATATTTCTTAAAAGGCCAGTGCAGTTTTTCTCCCATATTAAATGAGAGCTCAGTATTTTAGTTTTACACTGCAAGGGAGTGACTTTGTTGAAACTGAAGTTTTGTTTCAAGCTCAGATTTAAAATCAGGTAACACAAATATAAGCAGACAATACCTCAACAACCTCAGTATTAAAAGATATTGATTACTAAGGATCATGATAACAAAGGAACAGGGAGCAGGGAGGAAGAAAAAAAATGAAGTATGCTTCTTGGAATACTATGGAATGAAGTGTACTGTTAGAAGTTGAAACACTTTGTTTTCTCCTGGATGTTAAAAAAAAAAAAAGCCTAGATGACCTGTATCACACCAAAGCAAAAAAGGCACAAATATCAATTTATTTCTACCTTCTACCTTCAGGTCACTTCACGATCATGAATGAGTCACACTTCATGTTCTTCCTGTTTTGGGGCTGCTGCATTTCTTTGTTTGCTACATGTCCCACATAAGGTACTTATTACATAAAATCCCTTATTCATACAAAATGTCACTTGATCTGAAAAAGAAACGTGGAGGAACCGAAACACTCTTCAACTGGCAATGAACATGCAGGGAAAAGCTGACACTCAATACAAAGGAATTAATTGAGAGTTTATTCCAGATGGTTCTCCTCACTTAGTATACAAGTCATCAGAATAATCTATCAAATAGACTTGGACTGTAATGATATGATTTTCTTCTATAATCCATTTTGGTTTTTGCTTTTAACAACCTGTTTAAAAAAAAAATCTGCCAGATGAAATGTTCAGCATGAACTGCGATCCTTACTATTTGTAGAAAATATGACTTAAAAAAGGACACTGTCATTTAGTTCATATTTTAAATGTTTACACTTATAAAAATGCTTTGGAAGCTTGAAACTGAAATCCTTTGTAATATTTTTCTTCTTCCTACCTCCCTCTTCCCATCTTAAATGCCTTTATTAGCCCAGGATTATCATAAATGACAGAGTGCAGCTGCTGATTAAAAAAAAAAACAAAAAACATTTAAAGACTACAAATGGATAAATTGTGTTTAAAAAAAAAAAGGAAGCTTACATGGATTTTTTTCGAACAAATAAAATGCATAGATGGCTACGGTACTCATCTGTCAACCTTTACAGTGTCCACTTGAGGTAGCCTTTCTACAGAATTACTAAACAAGCCCCAACATCATCTAAATCCTTGCATCAAAACCACTATCTCTTTGAAAGTCCACTAATTTAACACCACTGGTGATCAACATAATACAAAGCTTTGAAGAGAACAGCAGGTACAGTGGACATAAGTGTTAGTTCTAAATCTGCAGCCCTCAATGTACATTGTATGCACATAAATATCTCAGCTATAGTACACATTCCAGATCCATCCCTAAAAGCCATACTATTACGTAAAGCACAGCCATGCTAACTTCAGGATACAAACCATAATTCCACGTCTACAAAAGGGAAGTATAATTAGTGGCAGTTTATTGCCTCATACAAATTTAACCAACATGGCAACCATGCCAAAGGAATTAAAACATTTTCAGGACATATGTACAGACTGTACATTTCAGAAACATCTGAACAATAAAAATGCAAAAACAATCTCTGCATTACAAATTAAACTAAACAAATGGTTTGAAACCGTCAATGCATTGAATGGGTTTACAAAGGCACTTCCCTACCCAAAATAGGAAATGACAATCTGCAGCCTAGAGGGAGGTTGGAGAAGAGTGCTCATCAACTACTGCACAATCTCAACTTTAAGAAAAAATAAGCAGGATTTAATCAAACATTTATAGGATTCAATGTGATCCACTTCTGAAAGAATTCACAGAGTCTCTTCTTTGATTTTCTCTTGCTTTTCCTGGCTCTCTCGTTCTGTACTTTGGCTCCTTCGGCGATCGTGTTTGTCAGAATGGTCCTTGCTATCACTGTGATCGTGTTTGTGGGAACGTTCTTTGCTTCTGCTACGCTTCCTAGATTTTTCTTTGCTGGGACTCTGATCTCGTTTTCTGGACTTCTCAACACTATCTGTTCTTCCTCTGCTTCTGCTTCTACTTCGTTTATTTGACTTCTCCTTATTTTCATTTTTATGTTTACTTGATTTTTCTTTGCTCCTGCTTCTGCTGCGCTTACCTGTGTTCCTACTGCGGCTCCTACTCCTATGCTTTCTTTCCCGGCTTCGACTTCTACTATGTTTTCTCTCTTTTTTGGAATCCCTCTTGTCATCCCGGTGTTTCTTCTCATCCTTGTCATCCTTGTGTCTTCTCTCTTCTGTATCACCCTTACTTTTCCTTTCTTTTGACCTTTCTCTAGATCGATCTTTTTCCCTCTCACTACCTCTTTCCTTATCATAATCTCTCTCTTTTTTTCGACTCCGTTCATTTTCTTTTTCTCGCTCCCTATCCCTGTCTCTTCTATCTCCTTTCCTGTCACGACTTCGACTACGGCTTCTGTATCTGTCCCTGCTCCTGCTTCGCCTCCGTTCCAGTGCGCGATCAGTACTTCGAGATCTCCGCCTCTCTTTTTCTCTCTCCTTTGCTTCACGTTCTAATCTCTGCCGTTCTCTTTCTCTTTCTAGTTCTCTGTCAAAACTAGATGATCCATGGCCTTCCCGATGGTGACTTCTGCTTCTGGATCTTCTGGGAGACCTCCTGGGACTGATCGATCTTGGTCTTGGAGACCTTTTAAAAAAGAAGATATTCAGTGTGAAACACATCCTTTTCAAGTTAAGAGACCATCTTTCCTTTTCAATTTATACTTTATGTACACAGTCTGTTTTTCATCTTAAATACCAAATATCATGTGATGATTTTAACCTATTAGCATCCATAAACTGTTTTGCCTGTTGCCTTAAAACCTAACCCAGTGAAAAGACAAGATGTTGCTGGTAAGAAGTTGTTCAATATTAAACTTTTAACATTCATTTTAAAAATAACGTGTATATGACCTTGAACGTCTACGTTCTGCATGCCGTTCGATTTCTTCCATTCCCTCCTTGCCCTCTTTCTTGATTTTTCTAGGTCTGCTTTTAATTTGCTGGTCAATAGCTTTCTGGACTGGCACAGGAATTCTTGGAAACAAGGTGGAAAACCATTCAAGCTTTGTGAGGAAGGAACGAAGCATCTCCCCAATGGTCATAACACAACCCCCACCTGCCTTCACATCCAGGTCCTGTAAAATACAAGCAAAAAATATCCTGATGGTCAAAAATATTCTTTACTGATTAAAAAAAATGTTTCTACATTACTGTCCTATTGAAGTCTCATGATTATGAAAGTTTACTTGTCTCATATTCTAATACATTTCCTTAGAAAAATTCAAACTCTGCACCCTTTGGATTTGGCAGTATGTTACAGATAGGGAATGGGACTTAATATATATGCATGCAGGCACACACTAATCCTGCAGCCATCTGGATGGTAAGGGACTGTCGATGAAGAGATTAACGCAAAATCCCCTTACACAGTCTGGTTATATGGTATGATCTTGTATTTTATTTCAATGCCAAAATGCTGAGAAGTCCTCTGAAAGTACATTTAATACTCCATTTTGTGGATGTACAACTGTGTACCATCATACCCAACCCTGTGGCCTAAATCATTTATGAACTACATCATTGCCTATCTAAAAATGATCATAGAAAAACCTCTAGTACAAAATGGCATCCTAACAGAATTGGAAGCAATAGCAAACCAACTGCCATGAAGCAGTGAGGTTTCTAATTTAGAAATATGTAAAAAAATAAATAAATGAACAAATAATTGGAAACGCATAATCCATGATGACCATTGTCTCTGAAAAGGGTCATTACCGCATGAAGGCCTTCTTGCTATGCCCTCTCACAGCTCAGGACATGTTAGTCAGCTATTGTCAGTCCCAAACCTATAGTGCAAGCACACAAGGAAAGTGAGATTTGTTATCTAAACAGGAAGAGAAAATCTAAACGTAAAACTGCTTGCACTCACACACATTTAAGTGTTCAGATATACAGTTTTTCCAAATATAATCGCTGCAGAGATCTAAAGAAGAAAAAAAGGAGTTAAACGTAGCACCTGGAGAGTACGTACAGTTAAACAAAATAAACATAAGAAGCATTTTGAAAGGTAACTCTGTATCCTGGGAAGTTTTTCACAGGAGCATGACAAAAGATGAACTGCTTCCACATATTTAAGAACTGGAGGGGAAAAAAATCCTGTAGGTTTAAATAATTCCATATATAAAAATTTGCTTCATCCTATAAAGTTTGACCAGGACTGGTAAGAAACTTAAGCAGCCCCAGGCACGTAACACCAAGCTACTGACAGCAGCTGGGAAAGAAACACTAATTCCAAAAATATATTGGGAGACTTTAAACAAGAAACAAATACATCTTGATAACCAATATCTGCAAGAACTAATATGTATAAATAAAAAATATGCTTTGAATAATGAACCAGTTAAGACTTGCACAATGCAATGCGCTTGTGATCACTTTATTGTCCTTTGAGTTCACATTGAGTTTGCGAGACCCTGAGAATGAAGCCACCCCAATCCTTCTCATAAATTACAGTCCAGCATTGCAGAAGAGAGTTCATATTAACTACCCCACCTGGGGGAGAAGGGGGAGATCACAGAGATGCAATCAAGGTTCAAATTTGTTTTGATTTTTGTTAAAAACGTAGAATAGCACAGGTTTACCTGAAATAACAGCTGTTTCCTTTGCACAGTGTTTTTGATACTTAGCATGAAAGAAGCTGTTCACTGCAGTCAGATACAGGTATAATTAACACTATTTTTATTACAAATATCTGGACATCATTTGCAACTACAGCATTTGGAATTTCTTGAAGTAGATGCATATTGTCACACCGAAGAGGGCAGATGATCCTTCCTGTTCCATTCTTAAATCTAAGATGTAACTTAAAACCTGCTCAATAAATACAAATTGCAGCAGTACGTAGCAGACTGTGTATTCAAGTTCATAGCCCAAGAAGTGTCACCCACCAACTCCCTATTCTGTTTCCCCAAACAATAAATCAGGACTAGGGTACCAAAGGTATTCTACCACCTGACTGCATAATAATGCAGCCTCTGCACTGGACTTCAGTGAGCAACTCATCTTCTTTATTTGCCCCCAAAGAAATTAAGGTTCCAGAAACAATGGAACCTTATGCCATAATCAGGCTGTTTGCTTCTCCTCTGGAGAAATCCTGGGTTTAGTTATTCCAGGACATGAATAATAACCACAAAGATTTTTGGCAGTATTTTCCAAGGTGAATGTTGGTTTCTACTATATACTTCCCACTCTTTTATGTCAGCATCAATTCTCCCATCCCAGTAATAAATAGATAATATAAATTTAGCATTCTCATGACTTACTACACCTTGCTTTTAAGATATGACTTTGAAAAATGCACAGAAGCCACACACAGCCTGCTGTTTGAATTCTGATTCAGTACACTTGTTTCACATGGCTTTGTAAATCTGACACAGTAACATACTAACCAGGGAAAAAATCTGTTAGATCTTTGAAATCTAAGAAAAATAACCCATGTCCGAGCTCAAATCTGCTTCTTGCACTAATTATAAAATTAAAGAACATAACATTACAACAGTCAAACTGCAGAAAACCTTATTAAACAATGTTTAAACCTAAAGTAGTAACATGAAAAGAAACAAAAGAAAACAAATTATTACCCTCGCCGACATACCTCTTCGTCATCAAGAAAGGATTCAAACCAGTCCCATAGATCTGTAGGTGGTTGTGTGTACCTTCAAGTACAAAAAGAATGTAAAATTTTAATACAGCTTTCTGCATATTAAAACAGTCGTTAGTTGATAACACTGATACTTACCTAATATACATAAATCCAAGAGCCCTAATATATGGAGAGTCTGTATGAGTTATAAGGCCCATCACTTGCTTACGAGTGAGTTTCAGGGTAAATAATTTGTAGAGCAGACAAAAGGCAGTGGACACAATTCCCCCAGTTCCAACACCACGTACCTTTCAAAAGAAAAAAGTTAGGTGAGGATGCAGGAAGTCAAAGACATTATCCCAAATCTTCAAAAGAATGTGAGAACTAACACAGAATAAAATCTAAATCTACAAACAAAGCTATGTGGAAAAAGTAACACCATCTGCATTCACAGCTTTGGAAGCAAGAGGAATATATCTACTCTTTGTAATAAATACTTTTACACCTAGAGACTGATGTCAACATACCAGTAAGTTTTAACTATGCTTGGGAAAGTTCTTTACCAGACAGAAAAATTTAAGAAGGCACGTACTTCTACTTACCCCTCCACACATCCCTGTCTGGCCTGCGGTTTTCCTGCTGCCCTTCTCCCACGGTTCAACATGTGTAACCTGAAAGGGTGAGGTGGGGGACAGGAGAAAGAAAATTACAATTGCAACCTCCATAATGTTTAGATGCTTATACAAACCTGATTTAAACAATGGACATCATAAACCAATCTTAAAAGTCTGTCTTCTATGAAATTCAAGATCAAGTCTGCTTTGTCATTAAAGCAAAGCATCTGGCTTTTTAAACTACAACATTAAGAAATTAGAGCCAAAATCATGACTGAAGTTTAAAACAAACAAATCCCAAAACACCAAAGGAAGCATCCATGCTCATTCTATACTCCACGTACTTTCAAATGCTTTATGATTAAAGCCCATCATTACTGTTTTCCTGGGTGACTAAACAACTGCCTTTATTTAAACTGTCTCCTTTAGTTTAGTGATATTGGCTGCTGAGAGCTACAGAAGTTAAAATATAGTGTCTCACATTCATGAGTCTCACTTATGCAGGGAGCTTAGCTAGAGATTTCTTTTCACTATCACCTACAATTAAGACAAAAGAAAGATGTTCATAAAGTATTTTAATAAAAAAAGCCAGTGTTTTTTCTTGTAGACTGCAGTGATGTTCTTAGGTAAAATGGTTCCTAAGTACTAACAAGAAAATTTGCTCATTTCAAATCTTGTGAGATACATTTAGAGACGAGTGCACACACACAGTTAACCAACACCATTCCTAAAACTTGACAATAAGAGTCATAAACAAGTTCAGAATGACAAAACTGCCTGTGCTACATTTGAAATTGTGAAATTCAGAGAAGCAATGTCTGGCTCAATAAAGAAGTATACTGCCTAAGCACATCAACTTAAAAAAAATATGTAAAAGACAAAAAAAACCCCAAACAATGGTGATACACCAGATTTGGAATAAGAGTTCCTGGCTGTACTTCACAAATTAAATTTTTTTAACAATACATGAAACAAAACTAATTATGCACACAATTACATGAAATCAGAGATACACTAACAGCTGAAGTTGCTAAACTGTTTGTTTGGGTTTTTTATAGTTGCTGTCTTAGCCAAACAGGAAATAAAAGAGATGCCAGTACTGTAGAATTTAAAATTCATTATGAGTTCCTGTATTGCATAAGAAGTTCTCAAATACTACATAAATAATATTGCACATCGTTCTGATTATAGAGACTTTTGCCTTTCACAGGAAATGAAAAGTATTTTTTAGTCCAAGTATTGAGTATGACACTATTACAATGCTAGTCTTCAGTTTTTTTAATTTAAGTTACATTTATTGGCCACAATCAATATAAACAAGCTGGGTTTGACAGATATTAATTAAAAAACAAGCAAATAACAAAGTAAAAGTTTTGATACTTCAAAGACTGCTGCATATGCTTAGCTTGTTGGAAGTACAGACTAAATGAAGCTGAGGGCATGTACATGGTCCTAAGGTCAGAGATAAAGAGGAAGTCCTGCACTTTGCAGATACAGAACTGAAACAGGAGACAAGAAGTACAAGTAAATTAATTCAAATACTTGGACAGAATCCATATCTTCAAAGATGATCCCTATCACTAGCTGCCTGTGTAACTTAAAATCATCTTTCCTGGTAATCAGGCACCCAGCATTCTCCA